ACCACTGTAACTGAGGACCAGCTTCCAATACTGCTGCAATCAAATCTTTCCAGTCTGTGGAATAGTTCTTTACTAGCTCACAGTGAATTTAACATCTGCCTCACAAAAGGTGAATGCATGCCATATGAAACTTACCACTTCCTTAAATCTCCTCAAATATAACATTTCAACAGGATACAAGTAAGATTTTCCGTAGCCTTGGGTATGCCTGTCATTTGGTAATTTTTATTGTATGGTGACTGGATAATTTAAAGCTGGTTTTCTGATACTCTTGGCCTGCTCTTCTTCAATATTATAATGTAATGGTGTGGTAGGTTCTGCTTTAAATTCCTTTGCTTGTGTCTGAATATTTTTATTAGTAAGTTTTTCCAAGGCTTGTATCTCATCAGTCAAATTTTTATTATTTTCATTAGTATTTATACAGCTTGTATTTCATCAATTTTTTTTTCGAGACAGAGTTTCTCTGTGGCTTTGGAGGTTGTCCTGGAACTAGCTCTTGTAGACCAGGCTGGCCTCGAACTCAGAGATCCACCTGCCTCTGCCTCCCGAGTACTGGGATTAAAGGCGTTCACCACTTACGCCCAGCTAATTTTTATTATTTTCATTAATAAGTCTTTCTAAGGCTTATATATTACCAGTAGTAACCTTTTCTAAGACTTGTATCCTATGAATATTAAGTTTTTCTAAAGTTTGTATCTAATCAGTCAAATTGATATTTGGCACAGTTATCAAATGAATTACCAAGCTGATAATAATTATGACTGACATTATGGTGATCTCAGCTAAGTTTTTTAATCCTCTCATTTATCTTTTTTATTTTCATCCCATCCATAGTACCAGTAAACAGGGCCCTAATGCCCTGCATTATAACATGTCCAATTCTTTTTGTTTGTTTGAGACAGGGTTTCTCTGTGTAGCTTTTGGAGCCTGCCCTGGAGCTTGATCTGTGACCAGGCTGGTCTCGAACTCACGGAGATTCACCTGCCTCTGCTTCCCAAATTCTGGGATTAAAGGTGTGTGTACCACTGCCCAGTCAGTCTTTTGGCTTAAATATATTGCCTGTAGAAGCACAGTTATTATACCCAGTTTGCATATGTGCTTTTTAAGAAATGCAGCTAGACATTTTGTTAGCTTTGCAATTAAAAAAACATGGGCCAGGTATGATAGCACATGCCTTTCATCCCAGTGCTACACACAGCGCTAATTGGAAGCCAGCGAGATGGATCAGTGGGTAAGGGCTTGTGCTGCCAAACTTGCCAACTCACTTGATTCCTGAGACTTATGTGCTGGAAGGAGAGAACTGACTCTTGTCTTCTGATCTGCATGCGTATGTATGATGTACCATACACTCACTATCCCTTCAGCTCCCTCATAGATTAATGTCATTTAAAGAAACCATGTGATGGAGCTGGAGAGATGGCTCAGAGGTTAACAGCACTGGCTGCTCTTCCAGAGGACCTGATTTCAATTCCCAGCAACCACATGGTGGCTCACAACCATCTAAATTGAGATTTCGTGCCCTCTTTTGGTATATAGGCATACATGCTAGAACATTGTATACATAATAAATAAATCTTAATTTAAAAAAAAGAAAAAGAGAAAACCTGTGCTAGGCAGTGGTATTGCATGCCTTTAGTCCTAGCATTGGGGAAACAGAGGCGTTTTTTAAAATCTCTTTGCTTTTCTTTGACATCCTACAAAAACAAAGCCCTGCAGTTGTAGTCTTTACATGTTTATATAGAGTGTAACATTCCTTCTTTAGCTTGGTCCCTAAGGGTGGTGGTTTATGTAAGAATGGCCCTCAAAGATACAAATATTTGAATTCATAGGAAGTGGCATTGGGAGGTGTGGCCTTGATGGAGGGCATGTGTCACTGGGGGTGATCTTTGGGGTTTCAAATGCCCAAGCTAGGCCCAGTGATTCCCTTACTTCCTGTGCTGCTTTGTCTGCCTGCGGGCCACTAAGCTTCCTGCCATGATGATAGTGAGCGAAACCTCTGACCTGTGAGCCAGCCCCATTTAAATGCTTTCCTTTATAAGAGTTGCTGTGGTCATGGTGTCTCTTCACAGCAACAGAAACCCTAACTCAGACACTTAGAAATAGAAATTCCGTTACCCTCATTTCTCGTCACGAGACCCTACTGAACACAGCTTCCCTGAGCACTGTAGGGCAGAGCATCCCACTGAAGCTGTGAGTAGCTGAAATCCTTGTTTGTTTGGGTTTTTTTGTTTTTGTTTTTGTTTTTAAGTTCTCTGTTCCTGGAGTTAGCTTGTCACAAATGGTTTGAAGTGAGTGTCACTCAGCAGGTGCATACTGAGCACTCACTCCTGGGGTTACCCGTCAGCTGAAGAGATCCAGAGCCCAGTCCTTATCCAAGTCTGCCGTCTCCAGTGGGAAATGCCATGGAACAAGCACATAGGCTTGCTTGGAGCTCCTTTAGAGGAAGGGGAACTGTGAGGTTGGACTGTGCAGGGACACTGGAGCACAGAATAGTTGGTAGTGGGCAGTAAGCTCACTGCAGATCTCCTGTCCAGGCCACGTTGACGCAGTCAGAAAGGTAAGCCGTCATTCCTGCGAGCAAGCTTCTCACTGGCAGACTGAAGCAGTCACTGCACCCATGAGGTCTACTTGAAAAGTTACTTTTACACATCCGTAGGTTTCATACAGGGCCACAGCAGTGTTCTCTTCTATTAGAGCTTACCCACGTGTGACTAGACCATCAGCTCACTGATTTTCCTGCTGCCTGCAGCCATTTTTGTACTCCCTAGGCATGAACATTTGTCTTTTGCACCTCAGAAGAAAACAATACCTGAGCAGGGTTAGGGGAAGAGGAGGACTTGGCCCTGCCCCAGCCTTCTCCTGAATCTGCTCTGTGCCTCTGGCATGTGGGGTTTCCTGGTCCTAGGTTATAGCTCTGAGTCTCACACTGATATGAGAAGTAAGGAGAGTCTTGGGGGTAGATGCTCCAGATACTGAGTTGACAGGATATGTATTGTGTGGGTTTACAGGGTTTTGTTTTTGAGATGGTTCTCATGGATGCCAGACTGGCCTCAAACTCACTGTGGAGCAGAGGGTGGCCTTGAACTACTGATCCTCCAGCCTCTGCCTCTAAGTGCTAAGATTACAGGTGCATGTCACCATGACACGTTTTATGGTACGAGGGATCAAATCCAGGCCAACTCTCTACCAACTGAATTGTATACATGCCCAGTCAAACCCGTACATTTTTTAAGTATCAGATATAAATTGGGCAAGAGCACAATGCATTTTTAAGGGAACTGGTTACTTTTGAAAGAGCCTGTTTATTTAGCAGATGGGTGGCATGGTATGGGAAAGGATTGTGAGCAGGAGACAGGGAAATAAACTTTGTACTTGAGAGGCCACCACAGGCTTCTTTCTGCAGGTCTTCTCTGGTCTGCTTCCCTGCAGCAGTACACAGGGGTGGCTGTGGGGCTGGGCAAGTTGAATCGAGACAAAGTGTATCAGTGCCTGTATGCTAGAGCCTCCTAGAAGGGTCTCAGAGAAGAGTGTGACAAACTGAAAACCTTCTCTGAGGGACTTCACAGTGCACCAATAGATCAACTGCCCACCATTCAAAGTTTCTTGTTACAAACTTCACACTGATTGTGGAATATCCACAAAGGAAGGAAAGAGAACGCAGTCTTTTTACCACTCTCTAGACTGTTTCATCTGTGCTGGACTACCGAAGGTATTAATGTGTGTTGTTGATGCTTGCTGTAATTTCCATTAAAGCCAGTGTTTCCTCAGGAATCTAGTTAACTGCTCTGCATTCTCGCTTGGTTTTGTTTACTTGACCTCAAAACTCAGCTGACAAAGCTGTCTCTTGTTGGATCTGTGTGACTGACTGGGGGAGTGCTCATTGTCCATCATGGGACTTTGCAGGTGGAAGGCAGAGACACTGGTACCCAGGTGTGGGAAGTGAACCCATGCTCAGGAGACCCATCCAGTTCATGTCCTCTGCCAGCCTGGCCTGAGCACCTTTACACTTGCCTGGATCTCAGTCCCCCAAAGAGACCCGACTCTGCTCCTCACAGGCTCCATGTAACAATACCCGGGCTCTGGTGTGGGGGCTTACTCAGGATACTCCATGCTTCTTAAACTGAGGGCATAACGCAGGGACACTCACACGTGACTCTTGCGGTGTGGAAACACCTCATTTACAGTAAGTACTACTGCTGGAATAAGAGGTAGTGGGCTAGCCACCGACCCACTTTGGTTTATCAAAGTATGGTAGGTTATGGTGTGGGAGTTAACCAGAGAATAAAATTGGCCAAGAACGACTTGCTGGGGCTGGAAGGGTGGATGGCTCAGCGGCTATGAGTGCCTATTGCTCTTGCAAAGGACCCAAGTCATGTAGCTTACAACTACTTCTAACTCCAGCTCCAGGAGATCTGATACCTTTTACTTCCAAGGGCACCTGCACTGACTTGTGTGTCTCCATGTATAGATTGTGCACGTGCATGCAATTAAAAACACACACAATTAAAAACAAATCTTTTTTTTTTTCGAGACAGGGTTTCTTTGTGTAGATCTGTAGATCAGGCTGGCCTTGAACTTACAGAGATCCGCCTGTCTCTGCCTGCTGAGTGCTGGGATTAAAGGTGTGCGCCACTGCCACCCAGCTCAAAACAAATGTTAACAATAATGATGGCTGCTGTTTTGGACAAATCATTGGAGTGAAATTTGGCACAGAAAATCATTATGTGTATTTTAAAGACTCTTGGAAATACAGTTTACTAAGTCTTTCTTGGGAAGTATTTGAATAGCAGTGTTAACAATGCCATCTGGATGACGGAAAGAAGGAAGTCACGTGGTCATGTCTTGCTCCATGGTAGCCTAAGGCTGGGAAGGATTCTGGTGCACTATTTAAATACTGGAAGTATGAGCCTTGGGCACTTCAGCTTTTCTCAGTTATGTTTGTTAGTCCTTTTTAAGGGATGAGGGATGACATACACTTATCATTATTTTTCTCCTGGCAGAATTTCTTTTCCCTAAGATGGAGTCGAGCAAAAAGATGGACGCTGCTGGTGCACTGCAGCCCAACCCACCACTCAAGCTGCAGCCTGATCGCAGTGCGGGGTCAGTGCTTGTTCCAGAGCAAGGAGGCTACAAGGAAAAGTTTGTGAAGACCGTGGAAGACAAGTACAAGTGTGAGAAGTGCCGCCTGGTGCTGTGCAACCCCAAGCAGACCGAGTGTGGGCACCGGTTTTGTGAGAGCTGCATGGCTGCCCTGCTCAGGTGAGAGCCGCCCATGTCTTCTGACTGCTGGCCAGGGCAGCTGTACTCTCCCCCTTCACCTGCTTCCTTCAAAACGATGACTGCTTTTAGGTCCAGCTTCAGAGGCACATCTCATGCCTGAGTTTTCTGAGGCCTCTGTGCCTTGCCCTACCTGCCTCACATCCCACTCCCCCAGGCCTCTCCCCTGAAGTCAGTGGTGTCAGATGCTCAGTGAGAGCACTGACTGCTCTTCCAGAGGTCCTGAGTTCAATTCCCAGCAACCACATGGTGGCTTACAACCAAGAACACCACATACATAATAAATAAAGAAAGGAAGGTACCACGGTACATGAAGGCTAGGATCATGTGTAGGACAGCACAGGTGTAAGTATGCATGCTTGCCCAGGGAGTACACATAGAGCTTGTACCCAGACCCTAGAAGCTCATGAGCCTTGTGGGTTGCTGTGGTGAAATCACAAGGGAAGGTTGGAATTACAGGACAGAAGTTGAATTGGCCAGGGAAGAACTTCATCCTGTAGCTGTTATGTATTTGCCAGGACATACTGCGCCATCCGTAAGTACCCTTAGAACACATTAGCTTGAGAGGACCACCCTCTTCCCAACTGGTCACTCACACCTAGGTGTCTGGGACCAAGACCAAGCCCAGTACCCACTCTCCTGTGTGCCCCACGCCCTCATTGTATCCATTCCCTGGATCCACACAGCCCTCTTGGCTTCGCCTACTGAGGGTGAACCTGGGGTACCCTGGGGGATAGAGGCACCCCCTGTGCAGGTGGCACTGGCATTTGTATACATAGTGAGCTTGTCTTTAGCCCCAGCCGGAACATCAGAAGGCCTTCAGTACCTGGGAGTACTCTTTCCACAAGGCCTCTCTGAGAAGCAGTGTGGTACCAGTCACTTTCAAGTTATTTAAGTCTTTCCATTGAGATGAGTTACTGGATATTATAATAGCTTACTTTTGAAAAATTACTTTTTTTTTTACGTTTGGTTCTTTTTCTCCTGTGGATTCCTATTTAACTTAGATTTTTCCATGGCATGTGGATGCCTTCCTGCTGCCAAAAGCTAGAGCAGGCCTGACTGCAAAGGAAGGGAGCCTGAGGAAAGGAGGGGCTCTTGCTCTAACCTGCTTACTTTGTTTCCTTCAGCTCCTCAAGTCCAAAATGTACAGCGTGCCAAGAGAGCATCATCAAAGACAAGGTACCCTCACCTATTTCCTTTCGTCCACAGACTTGCTCAGGGTGGCCCCATGCTGGGCTTCTTGGTGCTTGGTACAGATCACATAGCTTGCATTTATTGCTCTGGAATTCAGTTTAATGTTTATTTTATTTATTATTGGAGGAGGTGCATATATGCCATAGTGTTTGTGTAGAGGTCAGAGAACAACTTTATGGGATTTTCTCCTTCTGTCTTTAATTGGGTCCTAGGGATCAAATTCAGATTGCCAGGTTTGCACAGAAAATAATTTACCCTCTGAGCCACCTTTGTACAATGCATTAAAATTCAGTTTTACTTCACTTACTTGTTGGTGCCTCAAACTCACAGAGATCCGCCTGCCTCTGTTTCCCGAGTGCTGGGATGAAAGGCATGTTCCACCACTGCCAGTTACTCACTTTTTAAAATTAAAATTAAGATGGGCATGGTGGCACACACCTTTAATCCCAGTACTCAGGAGGCAGAGGCAGGCAGATCTCTAGGAATTCTAGGCCAGCCTGGTCTGCATAGCCAATTCTTTATTATACAGCCAGAGCTATATAATAAAGAGACTCTGTCAAAAAAAAAGTTAATATTTTTGTGGGGAGGTGAGGATGGGAGTCTAGCTCAAGATAGCCTTGAACTCAGTAGCTGATGTCCATCTCCCAAGCTCTGGATTGCAGGTATGCACTCCTACACCTAGTTTATGCAGTACTGAGGAGATGCCCCAGGCTTCAAGTACTCTAAGCAAGCACACCACCCAGATTTACATCTCCAGTTCCTTACAGGGTTCACTATGCAGCCATGGCTGACCTTGAACTCAGAGATCTATCCACCTGCTTCTTTTTCCACATGTGGCGAGTCCCTTGGGGTCCTCCCTCCCTCCCTCCCTCCCTCCCTCATTTCGTTTTTCGGGATTGGGTCTTCCTATGTAGCCCATCCTGGCCTGAAACTCATGGCAGTCCTTCTGCCTCAGCTTCCTAGGATTGCAGGCATGTGCCACAATCCTCAGTCCTTAGTTTTGACAGTGGTAAAGCAGGCTCCGAGGCCTGCCGTGTGTTACATGAGTGCCTGGGCAGCCTAGCGATAGGGAAGATTCAGACACGTTTATCAGTCTTCTGCTACAATCCCTGCAGGACACGCTGAGCTTCACCACAACAGTGTCAGTCCCACCGCTTACTCCACAGGAGGGTGCATGAGTTGTGGGCTTGTGAGACGCGCTGAGGCGCCTCTTGTGGCTGTGTCTCTCTGTGGTCAGATCATTGCTGTCACCGTAATTTTTTTCTCATACTGCTTACACTCAGCTGACACTAGCCTCTACCTTCAAACATACCAGCGGGGGCTGAGGGGTTTGGATTTGTTCTTGCTCCCCTAGAAGTGCTGAGACAGTGAATGAGATCAGCCTTCCGTCTGCCCGTGAGGATGTCAGTGCACACACACTTAGAGAGTGGGTGCCTCTGAGACTTCCCCCATCTTCTTCCTGTGCCCAGCCCCTCTCCTTTTCTGTGGCACATGCCTCCCCCCCACATACTGCTAAGCCCTTCCAGTACACTTGTAGCCTATATCAACTCTCTCTTAAGGACTTAAATGTCAATAAAAATGTGTATGATTCCAATATTCTGATTAATGAACCTGACAATTTTTAATGTAGGCTATTAAATCCCACTGTAAGAGCCTTGCCCTGGGGTTTCCTGTCAAAAGCATTTGCAAGTGTTGGACTTGCTGACCAGGGTAGCCCTGGTGAGGCAGCTGGCCACAGGGCCCTGGGCTATAGGAAGGAGGGCTTCTGATGGGACTTGTTCTAGATAGAGAGAAAGTTAGCCAACACCCCTTGCTTTTCTTAGCACATTAGCATACCCCTGCTGCTGCAGACTCCACCCAGTTGTTACAAGGGAAGCAGGTCTCTTACCCACCCACTCCTTTGTTTGGAGACAGGGTTTCTCTGTGCAGCCCTGGCTGTCCTAGAACTCCCTCTGTAGACCAGGCTGGCCTCAAACTCAGATCCTCCTGCCTCTGCCTCCCAAGTGCTGGGATTAAAGGTGTACGCCACCAAGCCTAACTCTACCCCACTCCTTTTCTTAACATGGCAGTGGACCTACCTTGTTCACAAGTATTGACAAGTGTGCCTGAGAGAAAGAAGTTAAAGCCACAGCTACTGTGGCTATTTTTTATATCGTTCATTCACAATTATGAACCCCATTTCTTTCCTACCCCCCTCCCTTCCTCTTCCAAGACAGGTTCTCTGCATGGTCCTTTGCAGTCTTAGAGCTCACTGTGTAGACCAGGCTGGCTTTAAACTCAGAGAGATTCTCTCGCCTTTGCCTCCCAAATGTGATTAAAAGTGTGCACCACTACTCCAGTTTCTAACTTAGTTTTTTGAAACAGGATCTGTCCACTGATCCCGGAGCTTGCTGATTGGATAGACTGGCTGCCAATAAGCTCCAAAGTCCTGTCTCCCTCCCCAGCACTGGGATCCTTGGTGCACACACCACGTGTGTCACCCAGGTGTCAGCATCCCAGCTCAGATCTGTGCTTGTGCAGCACAGCACCGAGGTGACTGGAGCATCTGTGTATAGATTTACCAGCTGTCTATTCTGGGAGTTTGGAAAGGACATGTTAACTGTCTTCCTGTCAGAGTGCTGACAAGTGGGCATGTCAGAAATGCCTGAGGACCAAGATGCTCATCCTTGCAACACATATTTAAAGCTAGAAGTCCATCCTCTCTGGCGAAGAGAGGAAAAGAAAATTCTTTCTCTGGTAAAAACTGAGTTATAAGCAGCACACACTAAGAAGGAGCCAGAATTGTTTCATACATTGTCCCAAAGCATTTCCTCCACAACTATTGGTCTGATTCTGACAAGCTTTTGTGCACCGTGCTGAGTTGCCAGCATGTCGCCACGTCCTTTGGCAAGAGGTGTGCTTCCAGGACCATCTGCTGCTTATTGGCTGGGAGCTGGAGCCTGCCCTGTCCTGAGACTGTCTTCCTGATTTACTTAATAAAAGATAGTAGTTACAGTTATATGAGTTAAATGGGGCCAGCTCCTTCATTGTACTTATAGAAATTAAGATTGTCCTTAATGCTTTCTGAGGCCCACTTAAGAGTTGCTCTTAGCATTTTTAAAGTGATTTTGCCTTGTCCAATGGCAAGATGTGAAGATTAAGAAGTATTAATCCTCTAACTGCCTTTCAATTCAGGTGTTTAAGGATAATTGCTGTAAGAGAGAGATCCTGGCTCTTCAGATCTACTGTCGGAATGAAGGCAGAGGCTGTGCAGAGCGGCTGACTCTGGGGCATCTACTGGTGAGTACCCAAGTGACCCAGAACCAGAGGCTTCCTGCTCGGCTGTGAGGGCTCCCTTCATCTACCTGCCTGGCCAGCATGACAGAGCACTGTGTGCACCATCACACTGTTTATTCTTTTCAAACAGAACCACACTAGGACATAAAGTGTCACTTTATGACACCAGGAAATTGTCATCCTCTGCTGCCCCACTTAGAATTGAAGAAATTAGAGTTGAGTTTTAATTTTCAAAGGCACTTTATAACTTTATTTCTGCCGTGAAATTTCACATAATTTAAGGTTGCTTTTTTATTTTTAATTTGTTTATTTTATTCAGAGTGGGTACTTGAATTAGAATAAAGGGTTTAAAGGGTTGGCATGGTGTGTGTGTGTGTGTGTGTGTCTATAATGGTGGTGTTTTTGTGGGAGGGGAACTTGACACAGGTTTTACTCTATGTGTATGTGTGTGTGTAGCTTTTGACACTAGTCTTGCTATGTAGTTCAGTCTGGCTTTGAACTCAGGGTCCTCCTGTCTCGGCCCATTCTGCTGGGATGACCGGTCAGGTCTATATCACCACATGTGGCTGAAACAATTCTTAAAAGAGACACCCCCACCCCCCAGCTCTGGTAACAGAGAGAACGATGCGTGGTCCCTTACTCGTGTGTTGAGGAACATAAGGTACGCACCGTGAACCTGTGTCTCTTGTCAGCTAAGGACTTTGGTCTGTTCTGCAGATACACCTCAAGAGTGAGTGCCAGTTTGAGGAGCTTCCCTGCCTTCGTGCGGACTGCAAAGAAAAAGTACTGAGAAAAGACTTGCGGGATCACGTGGAAAAGGCCTGTAAATACCGAGAGGCCACATGCAATCACTGCAAGAGCCAAGTCCCCATGATCACACTGCAGGTGCGGTGTTGCCTGTTCATGCCCCTTCTGCCCAGCTCAGGTGCACTTCCTCTGCAGATACGAGGATTCTCACAAGGAGAAAGAGGAAGAGGATTAGATAGCAATTTTCATCTAACTTTATTTCAGAGAAAAACTGTATTTGTTTTGCCTATTTTGATTTATATAATTAACACTTTCCATTGCCTTGATTGACTCATTTGAGATGTCAAAAAAAATGAAGAATGATGATTGAAAAAAGGTAGAATTTGTAACTTGTCCCAAACAATAGCCTCAAATTTTGATGGAGCACTCATCTTCTCACAGCTGTATAACACAACTGTCGCTTACAACAGGCTCATTTATCCTGCAGTGTCAAAGGCAGCTGTCTGTCTCAGGGAGAAAGGAGGATTTCAGAGTTTTCCTGCCTCATTGTTTTGACATGGTCTGTCGTGTTTTGCAATGGAATCATCATTTCTGTGTGAAACATGAAAGGACATTGAGGGTAGAAGATCAGCTTTATATCTTTTATTTTTTTATTTATTTTTTTATTTTTTGGTTTTTTGAGACAGGGTTTTTCTGTATTGTTTTGCAGGTTGTCCTGGAACTTTCTCTGTAGACCAGGCTGGCGTTGAACTCACGCAGATCCTTCTGCCTCTGCCTCCTGAGTACTGGGATTAAAGCCGTGTGCCACTAACACCCGGCTGAAGACCAACTTTAAAAACAGTTATTCATCAAGCAAACATGGGTTGTGTACCTACTGTATGCCATGCCATTCCAGAACATGGGCTGCTTGCAGGTTGCTGAGGGGGGACTTAGGAAGTGTCAGGAGAGTTGGGGGCCCTGCTCAGGTATTGCTGAGAGGCCAGGCATGTGGGGACTATTCTTGGTGGTGATGCTGGGGTCAACAGAAGGAGCACTGTTGGTATAGCCAGGGTGCAGGGGCCATTGCTGAGTTTCTGGTGTCTGCCCTGGAACAAGTCTTGGTCACCATGTAGGAGAGTCTCCTGCCCTATGAAATGAGGCGTGCTCGGCTCTGCTGTCTCAGCATGCGCCCCATAGCCAGCCAGGCCTCAGTCTGGACCTTGTTTTGTCTGAGCATCTTTTTTTTTTAAGATTTATTTATTTTTTTATTATGTGTACAGCATTCTGCCTGCATGTGTCCCTGCGGGCCAGAAGAGGGCACCAGGTCTCATTACAGATGGTTGTGAGCCACCATGTGGTTGCTGGGAATTGAACTCAGGACTTCTGGAAGAGCAGACACTGAGCCATCTCTCCAGCCCCCCTCACCCCCGAACATCTTTTTCTTGTAGAGTACCATACACGTTCCCAGTTACTAAGCCTTTGAGTGTCTTCCTTCGAATGTGTCATAGTTGAGCAGTTTATCCAGTAACAAACTTACAGTGAGACATTCACCTAGTGAGTAGCTGTTCGGGCTACACACACTTTAATACACTCCTGTCAGAGTTACACTTTGCTTCTTGCAGAGATCAATTATTTGCAGAGTAGAGTCTAGTAGTTTTCATTTGAGAAGGAACTGAAAACATGTCAGTCAGATACCACATAAGCAGCCACCTCTGAAGAGCAGGCGAGGCTGTAAGAGCCAGGAGGAGGCATGGCTAGCCACCTGTTGATGGCAGAGGGGTGGCTTGGAGGCTCTACCATTAGTCTGCAGCCTGAGAAAGGAGAACGGGGGTACAGTTAAAGGTCTGTAGTGTGGGAAGTACTGACTGCACTACCTGAGGAGGGGCCAGGGAGTCAGTGAAGAAGCAGTGCTTACTTCGTCTGAAGTCCTAATCGGGAGCCCCACATGGGAGGAGTTGGACCTAGAAAGCAGTTTGAGATCTGAATTTCACAAAAAAAGCAACTGTTCCTTATAAATCTCTGGAGACCTTCATGATGGAAACTGGCTGCAGGCTCCTTTAACAGTGTCACTAGCATGTTCTGCTGTTGCTTTCATTTTGCTTTGTGTTACTCAGGGCTGAACTCGGGACCATCTTCAGAGACTGCTTTTTAAGTCACTGTCTGACTGTCCTTGAAATCAAAATTCATTCAGGATGGGCTTCAATTTGGCATCCTCCTGCCTTGGCCTCCAAGTAGTTAAAGTCACCAGGATGTGGCACCCCAATGGCCTTTCATTTTTGTTTTGAAGTAAGTTCTTTTGTAAAAGTCCAGAATGATGTTTAAATTCACTAGATGTCTGAGGATGACCTTGAGCTCCTGATCCTGCTGAGTACTAGTTATGGGTGTGAGCCTGTATTAAGGCCTGTATTGCTTTCTCCTCTGGTCTCAGGCCCTCGCATCACACGGAATGGACGCCCGAGCATTGGCTGTGTGCCTGCACCCCAGCAGCGCTCTTTAGTTAGCACGCACACTTCGTGTCACTGCCTGTGCATCCCTCCCGACCCGACAAAGCAAGTGTACGCTGTGCGCTCACTTCTTTGTAGAACTGAGAAGGTTCTGTGACTTGCTCTGGGCCTCCTCTCCTTCTAGTTAGTGCCAGGATTGCATGCCCAAATCTCTCAACAGTGAAATGTGCCACACAGTAGTATAGGTTAGGACCTGTGGTGCACACTGCATAGCTCGCAGTACATTACTGCAAGTGTCTAGTACAGAACCAAACTACATACAATTCCTGAGGCAAACTGTATTTTAATAAAATCTGAATACCACCCAGATGAAACTCTTTTGTTAGGCACACATAAGTATGTGATGAAACTTTTAAGTAAAAGGCAGAAATGCAGAATTCAGCATTGTTTAGTGGTTACTTGCAGGAAGTAAGGATGAGGTAGATAGAGTGTTGATCATGTTCTCCACCTAGGCAGTGTTTCATGAATGTTCATTGTATAGCTATGCTTTGTATTTCCCACGTGTGCACACATGTGCAGTCAAATGTGCAATCATGGAAATGTACACCTACAGTCCAACACTTGAGCAGCAGGTGCAGGAATTCAAAGCTACACTGTTTCCTAGGTAACCAGTCTTCTTACAAACCACTACAAAATATATCAAGTTTTTGTTTTGTTTTGTGCGTGACAGAGTCTCATTATATAGCCCCAGCTGGCCTAGAACTTGCTGTGAGATCAGGCTAACCTCAAACTCACAGAGATCTGCCTGCCTTTCCCAAATGCTGGGGTTAAAGGTGTGCGCCATGTCTCTTGTCTGTTTCCAGTGGTGCATCCTTTCTTTCGACTGTTAGAACACAGTATCAGTAGCATCAGGTGGCAGCTTACCATCTGTAACACCATCTTCTGACCTCTATGGGTACCTGGCACACACGTGGTGCACAGGCACAGCCATACTTGCAAGCAAAAAAACACTCACTAAATAAAATAAACTTCAAAAGCATTCAGAAACCAGGATGTTGGCAGGGCTCTGTTCGCAGCAGCAGCTTTGAGAGAAAGCTTTGCACCTTTCCTGGACACCCCAGTTGCCCTCGGCCCTTGACTGGAAGCTGGACCCTCCTGCTCTGTCTCTGTGTTTACCTGACTGCTCCTGAGTCCTTACCTCTCTAAGGATGCAGTCATGAGACTGAGAGCCTTGTCCTAATTAATGACAGCTGCAAAGAACCAGATCAGTAAGGTCCCATCCAGAGGTTCTGAATGAACACTGGCAATGCTGTGGGAGGACACTATTCAGTCACTGTTAGGGGTAGAAGTCCTGAACAGGCAATTCAGTGAATAGAATTACCCATGATTAGTAGAGGAAATATGCCACCTCACAATGCCTTGAGCTGAAGGACCCCCATGCTTCCTATCCCTTCCATTGGGCTGCAACAGATTAAAAAGTATTATAGAACTGGTAAAGTGCAGGAATATGTTTTTCATGATAATGAGATTCCAGATTGGGGTCAGGTTACTGGAGGGCAGTTCAGCAACAGTTCATCAAAATCTAACTTAAAACATGTGCAGCTTTTGATGCTTTTGAAACCTTCTTCCAGATATTCTCACATAGGTGTGCAAGAGTATATGCAGAGATGCTGGCTGCTCTGCCTCACTCACCTCCCCGTCAGCCTGCCCACCCCTCCGCCCCTCCTGCCCTAGTCCTGCTTTCCCGCACCTCCTTGGTGCTGTCCTGATCTCCTCCCTCTGCTACGCTTGTGTTGATGAGGCACCAGGCAAGTGTCCAGCCCAGAGAATGAAGATGGGACTGTGTGAGTTCAGAGTACAGAGAGAACACCTGTGGTTTCTTTACCATGTTTCAGAGGCCCTGCTCTGCTCTGTAGACTTGTGACCTCGGCTCTTGGGAGGGCAGTGTGATCACACTTGGTTCACAGACCATGTGGTCAGTATCAGAGAAGCATTCTGAAACGTACAGAATGCCTTGACTTTGTGGTTCTTGAAAACTGCAGATCCATGCAAACCCCACATGCTGGGTCCTTGTGTAAGCTGTCCCCGGAGGGAGACCTGTGACCAGTTCTCCATGCCCAGCCCTTCTGGTCACTGTGAAATGGTAGTGGACTTGCTTACCAGGTACTGTGGGGGACTCCGAGACCCAGCTCAGGAGCAGAGCATCTTTTTTTTTTTTTTTTTTTTTTTTTTGGTTTTTTTTCAAGACAGGGTTTCTCTGTATTGTTTTGGAGGCTGTCCTGGAACTCGCTCTGTAAACCATGCTGGCCTCGAACTCACAGAGATCCGCCTGCCTCTGCCTCCTGAGTGCTGGGATTAAAAGTGTGCACCACCAACTCCCATCGAGCAGAGCATCTTAATCTTGTAGGTATTCCCCTGCTCCACACATTCAGTGCTCACACCCAGAAGGCCCAGTCTTTCATAATTCCAGCAAGATTGAGCCTGGGACCCTCCTCAGGGCAGTGTCCTCTGTTAAAATGTACTTCTAGCCAGGCGATGGTGGCACGCGCCTTTAATCCCAGCACTTGGATGCCAGAAGCGGGCAGATATCTGAGTTCAAGGCCAGCCTGGTCTACAATGAGAGTTCCAGGATAGTCAGAGCTGTTATACAGAGAAACTCTGTCTCCAAAAAACAGAAACAACAACTGAATAAAATAAAAGACATGTACTTCCCTTGTATAGGCCACTGTTTTTGACCCTGTACCTGCCTAGTTAGACTGAACAAGTGCCCCGGTCCATTCATCCACCTAAAGACAAATGTTACCAAAGGCCAAAGGAACCAGAAAACCTGCTGAGACCCGGAAGTATCCCAAGATCTGGAGAGCTGCCGAGCACCTCGCTGAGCTGCGGTTGCTGTACTGGCACTTGTGTCTCTGGCTTTGCCTTCATTGTGGGTCCAGCAGTACTTTCTTGGGCCCTTGGGTTTGATGTCCTCAACCCTTTGATGTTCTTACCCTTGCCTTTTTATGGCCTGGATCTTCTGGCATTGAGATTAACAGTCCCTATTGTTCTGCAGAGCTAAAGATCATGCCATTTCAATATGCCTAGACCAGAATTTATCCATACTTGTGTACTAAAGATAATGTAGGCAAGATTTCAGGACAGTATCTAGGGGGCCGTGACGCTTTCACCTATTGGAGAAGCTTCCTGTCCAGACTCCAAGCTGAAAGGCCAAGGAAAATCCGAGCATGGGCATTTGACCAACCCCACATTGTCCATAGGACCCTTGACCTGGAATCTGCTGGGGAAGGAGCAGGCATTAGGATGTCACTAGCATGTGCGCCATAAGTTCCCTCTGAGTCAGATCTGACCTGATGTCACAAGGTCCCAGACACTCATGCTCTGATGAGTATGACGTGGTAATGGTTGCCACAGCTTCCTTGTGTCTACATTGGAATGGTGGGCATTGCGAAGGTTGAGCTTTGCTGGTCCAAACTTGACACACTTCCTTTTCCTTTGTAGAAACACGAAGATACCGATTGTCCCTGTGTGGTGGTGTCCTGCCCCCATAAGTGCAGCGTCCAGACTCTTCTGAGAAGTGAGGTAAGGCACGGCCAGGGCCCAGGCAGGAGCCCTGTGACATCGGGTCCCATGTACTGTAGGCTCCATTCTTCCTGAGTCATGGGCATCTATATAGTCGTCATTCATGGTCGACTACGGTAATGTGTGTAACAAGAAAGACAAAACTTTTTGGAAGTCAGAGCAGCAAACAACAAAATGCTACAAAAAGGTAAATTCAGGATTGGACATACTAAGAATTGAAAAAAATGTGAATAATTACAAATGTAAGTAATGGTGGTACTTTAAGTTTTTTAGAATCACTGTTTCTAAATCTAAAAAATAATAGTTGTCTCAAAAAAGTGAATTTAGACCTTTTAAAACCATTTGAGCACCTCATGGGCAGGAGCAGTGCTTGAGGGGAAGTAGATACTGGGACCATCCTTAGGGGCACTTGTGAGGGGTCCCAGTGACTGTCCATTGCACCCTGCCCAAGTGCTTCTGTAGGGTAGGTAGATTTTATCATTGACTTCATTTAGCCTATCCACATGAGTAGATCCATGTGGGAAATTCCAGGGATTCCTAACAGTTTTACGTGGGACCTGACCTGGAGCCCCCTCCATTGCTTGGTGCCTGAGGCTCTGATCTTCGGAGCCTCTGGAGTCTTCTCCAGCAGCCTGGCATCTCCAGGCAGTTGGAGGATGGCAGCCTAGAAACGCTAGTTGCTGTGGGCCTAGTGCTAGGGTACAGAGAGCTGGAAAGACCCTGAGAGCCCTGCTCACCTAGGTGTATCCTCCAGACAGTGACGGGCAGGGTTGGTGTCAGGCCTCTCGGAGTAAATCCTCCGCACTGGTCCACTGGAAGATCCTTCTGTTAATGTATGGAGAGTCTTAACTGCTAAAATGATCCCCATAATTTATAACCCTCACTTCAGTTCTGACCGCTCAAGGCTCTGAGTTAAGATGAACAGTAGCCTCTAAGTTACTTTTATTTCAAAATAAGATTTTTAAACTGCATTTCTCTTGGTTTCAGTGAAAGGAGCTGTTGGGCTGTGCATTAGTCTTGTTTCTGTTCCAAAACTCCTATAAATTCTTCAGGGCTCTGAGTGTGCTCCTAATAAGCCCAGGTTAGGAAAAGTTTATAGTAGAAATAGCCTGTCAGAACCAGTGCGCCCTGGTTGTAGTGCTAGAGGTGGTAGCCAGTCATGACTGTAATAGTTACAGTGGCCCTGAAAGAATGTCACACCTTAAAGTTTTAAACTGGTCCAAGCCGACCTGCCTGTGGGGCCTTCTGGGTACTTCCTGTGAGTCCAGCCAGGGTGTCCTGGCTGGGTTCAGGGAAACAGCAAGCTCACTAGGCTGCTGATCTTCACGACCGCCTAACAGGCCTTTCCGTGTGGTTGGTTGTGGTTCCAGGTTGCATTTCTTCTGACCTATCATAAAAGGGTCAGTGAGCAGAGGAAGAATGGATCTGTTTGTCCCTCAGTCCTAAATACCAAGATAGAGAAGAATCACCTTGGTCCTGATAGACCAAGAAAAATTCCAAAATTACACAAACAAGCACCTACCTGTGTCTGCACAGACTGTAGAATAAAAGCTGAGGAGGAGGCAGCAGGCGCAGAGCTGTTGCCCACGGCAACACCAGCCCAGGCACAAGTCAGTCTTAGGATACATCCTGTCAGTTCCCTTGTCTCTTGCTTGGGGCATCCTGGAGCTAAACAAGAGGCTTTCTTCTCTCGGGATAGCTTAGATTTTTCCAGGCACTCGTAATTTTCCATCTATCAGAGGAGACAGCATAAGATTCCTGTTGTTAGAATGGCTGTAGGGATCTTTGAAAAGCTTACGAGGCTCTGAACATGCCAGGAAAAAAGGCTTTTCAGATAACGGAGCAACTCGCCTCCAGCCATCTCAAGTGTTACTAGTAATGGTTCAGTGTGTGAGCTTGCTTCGAAAATGGGTTTATTTTTGTGTACTGTATAGTAGGTGTGTAACCCAGTTGCATCCCAAATGCTTTCTGATTTTTTGTGTTTCATACAGTTTTTGTTAATAGTCTTTGAATGTGCATTTCAGTTTTTTTTTTCTTTTTTAATTCTGGCACTTCAGACGGCATGTCACAGTTTGAACAATTTGTTCTAAAGAAATTGGAAGTTTAAGAACTGTTACAGTAAATGTATTTATGTATATTGGTGTGTATACGTGTATACTTGTGATGAAACTGTATTTTACTGCCTGAAGTCCAGCAAGCAGATGATGCGTACACACCTGCAGCTGATAAACACCCTTCTCAACAGTACAGCCTGGATGCTCTCTGTGCCCTGATATGTTTGAACATTTTCATGCAAACGTTTGTGTCACAACTCACGTCTCTTTCCCGTTGCAGTTGAGTGCACACTTGTCAGAGTGTGTCAATGCCCCCAGCACCTGTAGTTTTAAGCGCTATGGCTGCGTTTTTCAGGTCAGTATCCAACATTTGTCCTTCCCAGTCACTGACATTCTGCCATTGAAGAAAGTTCTCATAATAGTATTTTAACATTTGAGTCCTCACTCTTTTAGTCTTTGTCGTGAAACCAAACACCCTGCTGCATGGGTGAAACAAGGCGTACATGCAGCAGGGTGGATGCTCACTTGCCAGTCCAGGGCGTTTGAAACGCAGATGGGACAGCTTGGGGAAGCGTGTGCCAGAACCGCTGCCCCCACGACAGCGCCAGGTAGTAAGAGTGCAGTGACAGCTGGAAGTCTCTTACTACCTGAGTATAGGTGACTATTGAACTAGACGTAGTTCTGACCGTGTCTGTCAGCCCTGAGCTGTAAGAGTCACACATGGGTATCTGTAATGCTTTCTTTACATATGTAACTGACTCTTAACCCGTGCCAGGGTTGGAATTGCCTGAGCAAAGCCTGTAGAAAACTTACTTCCTGGGAAACAGTGTTCATTCGAGAAACCTGCATACGGTTTTCTGTTCATTTTTTAAAAACATACCTGAGATCGCAAGTTAGGACTGAGTTTATCTACCAATAGGCAAAATATGTTACAAAGAACCATATACTTAGTTTTATGTATTCACAATGCGTTCATGGAGTTGGTATGGAGACAGCAGCATTGCAATACTTTTTTCTTAGACGATGAGAAACTGAGGATAAGAATACAGCTCTCCCTTGCTTCAGTCTCGGAGGCGCCTGTACCGCCCTGTTCTGTCGTGCGTAGTGCCATCCGTCCTCTGTGTGTGCGTATGTATGCTGACGCAGAGCTGTGCTCAGATCAGCATATGGAGAGACATTCCATATACAGAGTATATGTTTTGGAGATCATGAAAACGCTTTTTCTGATTCCTTAATTTCCCAGTATCAAAACAAGTTATATTCTCAAATTGGTTGTTTCCTTGAATATGCAAAGTACTATTTAATGTGCTTGCTCTTGGCTTGAATGGTCTGCATCTTATGTACTCTGTAGATTGTTTATGTTTTGTATGTAAATTTCTCAGCACACTCAGCCTGGTGAGGCGGTGCCTTTTTGGATACAATGCTGAACTACTGTAGCAGCACCTGCCTGCAGCTGTAGGTTCCAGAATATTCTCTATGTATATCTTCATGGAAATGATTTGTAAAGGAACAGGATGGGTTTCAAATTTAATTCTGCAAGTATGACACGTTGATGAGAAGCCACTAACGAGAACTCGAGGAAAGAAGGGTATTAACTTGAGCTTAGCTCTGCAGCATCACAGGGTTCTTGGCGTGCACCCTGCACTGTAGCCTAGGAGGGAGGGCCCCTGGAGTTCCCTGTACATAACTAGGCACCTTCCTGTGTAGTGCTGCTTCTAGAGTTTGTGCTAGGCTTTCTGTCCTTGGGAGACATTGGTTTAGTGTTACCGCCTTTGCTCTTGCAGGGCACAAACCAGCAGATTAAGGCCCATGAGGCCAGCTCTGCCGTGCAGCACGTGAATCTGCTCAAGGAGTGGAGTAACTCCCTGGAGAAGAAGGTAGGCACGGAGCATTTGGCTTCTGTCAAAGAGGAAATCTGCTTTGTAATTATCACTGGTTTTTTAATGGAAGGCCCAGAATGAAGAGATTGTCAACAAAGTCCATTCTGTTGGAATCTTGAGCTTCTGTGTGGAGCTGTTTGCTCATTTTGGCTGCCAAGCAACACTGGCTTCCTTCCTTTCTGTGTAATTGCTCTGTGGGTCAGCACTGATCTACGACAAAGATTGTCCCAACACTCATACTCTAGTCCTCAGCTCCATAGCTCTGTGAAAAGCAGCCACCCTGTGCAGGTGAACTGACCCTGGCTGTTTTGGCACTGACTAGGATGGAGACTGCTGGACTGGACCACTTAACCCCAAAAGCTGATTGTCTCCTCACAGACCATGTTTGCCAGTCCCACGTGTCTGGTTACTAGGGTTGATGATCTCCAGCTGTGTCTTTTGTAAGCCCCAGGAAAACATGTTGCCTTCTCCCTGTTTGCAGTTGGTTCTCTCGGCTGCACCGACTGCATAGACAGCAGCACTACCAACAGTCTTATCTCACCAGGAGGCGTTGTGGCCTCCAACAAGGTCCTTCCAGTTAAGAGTGCACCTGCCATTTGTTCTGTGGTGCTCACCCCCACAGCAGGGCTGTATTGCCTTGAGGAGTAGGGGAAGCGCTCCAAGGACTGAGGAGAGGTAGTTATGGGCTCACACTTCTCATGGCTCATTTACATTCAATACATCGATTGAAACTTGTATCAGGAGTGCATTGAGATGGATTTAAGTGGTTGGTGCAACTGACATTGGAGTTTTATAAAGATCTGAGAGTCTTGTGTTAAGTGATTAATACAAATGTACTTCAAAGTCTCAACCTTCCTGATGCTGTGACCCTTTAACACAGTTCCTTATGTTGTGTGACCCCCACCATAAAATTACTTTCCTTGCTACTTCATAACTATAATTTTTCTATTGTTGTGAATCATAATGTAAATATTTTTGGAGATAAAGGTTTGTCAAAGGGGTCAGGACCTACAGGTTGAGAACTGCTGGTCTAGAGTGACAAATCAGAAGGTTCCCAAGTGAGCCCACATGGTGCCATGTGCTGGTACCACTGGAAAGGCCAGGTGAGGAACAGGAAGGACCTTGTCCCCCACGAGGAAGTTTCTGGAAGCCCAGTCAATGGCCATTCCCCCAGAGAACACAGTGTTTGCTCTGAGCCCATTGAGAGCTACCTAGGAATCTTTCCCCCCTCTTTTTGAAGAAAATGGTTTGTTTCTGCCATTTTTCAGTTACTATATAACCTCAGGATGTCCTGTATCTCACGAGTGCATTTAAAAGGCCCTTCCCTTTACTTAGTTTGAACCCAGGTATTGTGGCACATACCTATAATCCCTGCCCTCAGGAAGTGGAGGCGGGAAGGTCAGAAGTTCATGGTCTTCTAGATATATAGCAAGTTCAAGGCCAGCCTAGGCTCCTTAAGACCCTGTCTCAAAAGAAAGAAAAAAGAATTAGTGTTTTGTTTTGTTTGTTTGTTTCATTCACCTTGCTGTTAGTGGCTCTGGGAGTCTGACTGTCCAGTACAAAGGCCCAGGAAGTGCTGGGGCAATAGGATGTTTTCAAGTTACAGAGGTCCCTGTTTTCACTGCAGGGGAGTGTGTGTGCTGTTTCTGGAACAGGGCTGCCTGCTCACCTTAGTGGTCATTAAGAGGCCTACGAAGGCAGCAGTGTGCAGTGCTTCAGGGCTTTGCTCTCTAACGTGTGAGCTCACCGTTCACATAAGGAAAACTCTGAAGGAAGACAATTAAGACTATCTGGTACAACATGTGCATGTTACTGTTAGTTGCTTCTGTTTAACCAGTATTTAGTTGCTGCAGGAATGTTGGTATTTTTAGAAATATAAGTCAGACTCTTGTTTAAAAGGATGTCTCCACTTGGTGAGGATGAGAAAAGCCTGGGGACTTGGTTTGGCTTTGCTAGATGGGAATAATTGAACAGTGACTTCAGAAGAGCTTTGTAAAACTGCTCTTGCCAGCCGGGTGGTGGTGGCGCACGCCTTTAGTCCCAGCACTCGGGAGGCAGAGGCAGAGCTGGTTCCAGGACAGCCAGGGCTACACAGAGAAGCCCTGTCTCCAAACAAACAAACAAACACCTGCTGTTGTCCTTCTTCATTGTATAGGTTGGCACCGCAGGAGCTTCTGCCTTACGCAGTGGGAGAGAGCTGGAGAGTGGAGGCGCCCTTTGCCTACGAGACACACAGGCTCCATTTGTTTTCTTTCTTTCTTTCTTTTCTTGTTTTTTCAAGGCAGGCTTTCTCTGTGTAGCCCTTGCTTTTCTGGAATTCTGTAGACCAGGCTGACCTCGAGCTAGAGGCCACCTGTCTCTAGTTCACTTGCCTAGATCCGCCTGCCGCTGCCTCCCAAGTGCTAGGATTGAAGGCGTGTGCCACCACACCTGGCTAACCACCAAGTTTTTGTGTTGGGGTCTCTTTGGGTGTGAACCCCATCTGTTTCTGAGGAGTTAATGGGCTGGCCCGAGGGTGAGATGAAGTGCCTGTGTGACTGCATCAGGCCACCTCTCCTTGGGTTTAGGGATGTAACACTAGTGGGTGTGACCCTTGCAGGACGGCGCTTGGCTTTTTAAAAATTGACAGATGGGGCTGGAGAGATGACTCAGTGATTAAGAGCACTGGCTGCTCTTCCGGAAGACCCTAGTTAAATTCCCAGCACCCACATGGCACCTCACAACTGTCTGTAACTCCAGTTCCAGGGGATCCAGAATCCTCACACAGACAGACATGCAAGCAAAACACCAATGCACATAAAATAAAAATAAATAAAATTGATAGATGGTGATTGTATGTACAGTGTGATGGCTGGGTGTGCATATATATTAGGAAATGATGAGAACAAGCTACATGATGGGCCCATACATTGCTTTCCCCACCCCCACTTTTTATGGTGGGAACACTTCAGATCTGTTCTCAGCAGTTTGGTGTATGCATTTCATTGTTGACAGCTGTCACCTTAGAAATAGCTCGTGAGCTGAAACTTTGTGCATGTGGCCAGTGTGTCTCATATCTCCCCAGTCCCGGTGTCCCTTCTCTTTGCTTCTTGCTTCAGCTTTTTGGTTCTAGTTGTGAAAACAGGCAGTATCTGTCTTTCTGTTCCTGGCCTGTTTCAGCTAGTGATGCCCTCCAGGGACTAGCTTTTTATTATTTTTATATCAAATAGAAAGACTAAAACAAAATACCATGTACATGGTGTTTTTAGAGCAGGTATGATTCTGTGAAGCCCATTTTTCATATATACAGTGCTTGTGCAAGCTGGATAAAATAAAAACTTTCTTTTGTTTGTTTGTTTTTGAGACAGGGTTTCTCTATATAACAGCTCTGGCTATCCTGGAACTATCTCTGTTAGTCCAGGCTGGCCTCGAACTCACAGAGATCCGCCTGTCTCTGCCTCTGCCTCTGCCTCCCAAGTGCTGGGATCAAAGGTATGTACCACCACTGCCCAGCTTAAAACTGTTTCTTATTATGTGTCCAGGCCAGATCTGGAAACTGCACTGGTAAAAGATTTGTTTTCAGTGAGCACTTTAAAAACCAGGCCCTTGTTCTGAAATTCAGTTATCCCTCCCCAAACATCCCTTAGCAGCAGGGAGAGACAGAAATAGTTTGCAGGGCTCCCTGCTAGCTCTCCAGAATTCCCCTTTTTTGTGTGGAGGGATTTTCCTCCTAGGCTCCTTTTTAAAAGCCAATAGAAAGCTTATATTGTGAAAATTTAATTACTATCATTATCGTTAATTAATACCAAGCCACTTTTTGTTAAACTAATTGAAGAATTTCTTTCTCAGGTTTCCTTGCTGCAGAATGAAAGCGTTGAAAAAAACAAGAGCATACAAAGTTTGCACAATCAGATATGTAGCTTTGAAATTGAAATTGAGAGACAAAAGGAAATGCTTCGAAACAATGAATCCAAAATCCTTCATTTGCAGGTGAGCACCCTGTCTGGTGGCAGGCATCACTGAGTTCCTGCAGACAGGCCAGGGCTTCTCTTGCTTGTGTGAACACTCAGAGGCAACTGGGTCAGCATACACCTGCCTAGGAAACTGACCCAAAACAAAACCCTTCTTCTGTCTTCAACCCATTGGAGCAAAGTAAAACTTAAACCCTTGTTTTAAAAATTAGCTGTTTTAGCCGGGCATTGGTGGTGCACTCCTTTAATCCCAGCACTCGGGAGGCAGAGACAGGTGGATCTCTGTGAGTTCGAGGCCAGCCTGGTCTACAGAGTGAGTTCCAGGACAGTCTCCAAAACAACACAGAGAAACCCTGTCTCGAAAAACAAAACAAAACAGAAAAAAAGCTGTTTTAGCCCATTACCGAGCTGTGGTGGCGCACACCTTTAATCCCAGCACTTGTGAGGCAGAGGCAGACAGATCTCTGTGAGTTATAGGACAGCATGGTCTACAAAGCAGGTTCCAGGACAGCCAGGGCAACAACAACAAAAAAAAACCAAATAAATAATAAAGTGAAAAAATTAGCTGTTTTGGATGGTGTGTAGCTCAGTGATAGAGCATTTGCCTAACATGTGCAAGGCCCTAGGTTCCATGCCCACCACTGCAGAAAGAGAGTCTGTGTAAAATCTGTCTTTATTACTGTTTAAGATAATATTGTTCATTGGTACTTGTGTGCCAAGTTTCACTTCCTAAAGTGAAATCAAGCCAAACTGCTTTGTTCTGAGTTCACACACACACACTTAACTTTAGTTTGCCATAATTATCCAGAGATACATCCAAAACAGCAAATATATAAACTTTTGCGGGGCTGGAGAAGTATTTCTTTAGCTAAGATCACTAGCTACTCTTGCCAAGGACTGGGGTTTGATTCCCAGAACCTCCATGGTGACTCACAGATGCCTGTGACTCCATTTGCAGGGACTCGTGTGCCCCCTGCTGGCCTCTGTGGGCACTGCATGCTTGTGGGGCTGAGGGTTGAAGGAAGTAGATCTGCAGTGTCTGTGTGTGCATTTTGGGCCCAGGAAAGGTAGTGCTCTTTGTTCTTCTTTAGAGCTGTTTTGTTTTTGTTTTTTGTTGCTGTTGCTGTTGTTGCTGAGGCAAGGTTTCTCTGTGTAGTCTTGGCTAACCTTAACCCTGGAATTCACTCTGTAGACCAGGCTGGCCTGGAACTCAGAGATCCGCCTGCCTCTGCCTCCTGTGCTAGAATAAAAAGTACTAGCCATCTTAGAGTGTTTAACAAAAATTTAAAGAACAGCTGACTGTGGTGGCACATGCTTTTGGTCCCAGCACTTGGGAGACAGAGGCCAGAGAATCTTTGTGAGTGAATACCTTTAGGGCTAGTGAGATGGGTCATGTGTAAAGTGCTTGTCACACGACTGTGTGAATGCTGGGTGGGCATGGCACCTCCCTGTAATTCCAGGGCTCTAAAGGCCCCAGACAGATGTGGCCAGCTAAGCTAGTCATGGCGGGGAGCCCCGGGTAAGTGGGAAGACTTTCTGAAAACAGTAGGGTGGAGAGCAAGCAGGAAAGACTCCGGAAGTCAGCCTCTGGCCTGTGCACGTGTCACCCTCACATGTGACTCGCACAGGTCACACACACACTCAAAAAAGAAGATGTGTTTGGGTTTTGATACCCACCCACCCCTGGTACTGGAATTGAACCCAAGTTCCTGAACTGTCTGAACTCTGTTCTGTTTCCTCTTTGGTTGAGACAGGGTCTCACTAAGGTAGCTAGGCTGGCCCTCAACACACCTCATGGCCCAGGGAGGCCTTACACTTGTGATCCCTCTTCAGCCTCTGCAGCAGCTGAGATTACAGAGTTCTACCACTAGGCCAGAAAACCAAGTTTTGTTTATCAAAATGGTAGCCTGGGGGCTGGAGAGATGGCTCAGCAGTTAACAGCACTGTTTGCTCTTCCAGAGAACCTGGGTTCAATTCCCAGCACCCACATGGCTGCTCACAATTCTCTGTAACTCCAGTTCTAGGGAACCTGACACCCTCATACTGACAGACATGCAAGCAAAACACTAACACACATAAAATAAAAATAAATCATTTTTTAAAAATGGTAACCAAGTGTGGTGGGACACACCTTTAATCCCAGCACTCAGGAGGCAGAGGCAAGTGGACCTATGTGAGTTTGAGGTCTACAGAGTGACTTTCAAAACAGTCCAGGCTACACAGAGAACCCCTGTCTCAAAAAAACAAACAAACAAAGAAGTATCCTGGATGCAGAGCCCAATGCTAGCCTGGGCAATTTAGTGATTCCTTTCTCAGAATAAAGAAGGGCTGACTGCATAGCTAAGTGCTAGTTGTCTGCCTAGCAATCCTGAGGTCCTAGGCTCCATCTGGAGCCCTTCAGGGATATCTAAGTGAGAGACAGTGTGTGGTAGTGACTTGGCCCAGTGGAGAAAGCTGCTTGTCACCAAGTCTGACAAGCTGACTTTAGTCCTAAAACCCTTGGTAGAAAGAGTGGACTCCACACATTGAAAGAAAAAAGAAATGGGTTATGCATCACATGTCTGTAGTCCCAAGTGCCTTAGAGGCTCCTGAGCAGCAGCACCTGTGACCCATTACTCAGAAGAGGAAGACAAGCTCCTGAGGCATAGATTGAACATGCTGCTGCCAGTTGCCACATCCATGCGGTAGGGCTCAGGTGAGTGTCCACAGTCCACATGAGCGCCACTGTGCTCTCACTGAACAAGGTTGTATGGCCAAGGCCTAGTGACCTGAAGGTGACAAGGGATAGCAAAGGACATTTACTGCAGCCCTGAAGTTCAGTTGCATATAGCTGGTCATCTGAGACCCTAGGAGCAGGCCAGGAGTTGGGGTTGTTTATTGTGTGTGCAGACTGCTGCTTCCCAGCTCCCGAGCTTGCAATTAAATCCACACCTTCAACCTGCACTTAGAGTGTCCATTTATAGAAACACTGCAGTGCTTGAGAGCTCACCAAGGTACTTCAGGAATTTAGTTATTTCTTATTCACAGAGAAGGCTTGACACAGACCTGTATTCTGCTTTAAGATGTATTGGTTTTGCACGTGAAAGGTCTGTCTGAAAAAATAGCACATTCCCTTGCTGGGGCACAGCTCCTAAGTTGTTTGGGTGAGCCCATTTGTGCGGATCATATGCCTATACACAAAGTACATGCCCCGTGTCTGCATTGCTTACCAGGTGCTGAGGCGATGCCCTGTACTGTTTGGGAGGGCCAGTGCTGTGGTCTTGTCCCTCCTATGCATGTCACTAGTTGTTGGGAGGGACAAGTCAGGGCTTCCCCCTTGGTCCTCTGAGTAACCAAGCACCGTCTCTCCCTCCATGGTCAGGCTTTCCCTTCATATAAGTACCCATTGTAGCTTCCTTTATGAGGGCAGTTCATTCAGAGAACACCATGGCTGTGGGTGTGCATTAACGCCAATACAATTGACCCCCAGAAAACAGTTCTTACAGAGCCAAATACTTCTCTGATTATACATTCTTGTTTAAAATAGACATGGGTCTGAAAAGATGGCTCAGCCATTAAAGGCTAGGCACACAGCCAAAAATAAAGACACATTGACATAGAAGGTTTTTTTGAGGATTAAAGATATCATCTATGCTGTGTGAGTGTCTGTGTGTGTGTGTGTGTGTATCTATGCTGTGTGTGTGAGTGCGTGTGTGTCTGTGTATGTGTATGTATCTATGCTGTGTGTGTGAGTGTGTCTGTGTATGTGTGTGTATGTATCTATGCTGTGTGTGTGAGTGTGTCTGTGTATGTGTGTGTATCTATGCTGTGTGTGTGTGAGTGTGTGCGTGCGTGTGCCTAGAGGGTACAAGAAGGGCCAGGTGTCCTTGCCTTCCACTCGATGCCTTATTCCCTTGAGATAGTCTCGCTGAATTGGAGTACTCCTCCTCTCTCTCCTTCCACAGAGCTGGGGTTTACAGGTACACACAGCCATCTCCAGCTCTTTGCATGGATAGTAGAGGTTTGAATTTGTATACTCGTGTTTGCACAGCAAGCATTCTTACCTGTTAGCCCCTCCTCGTTCTTCTTAAATGTCAGCATCAGGGAGATTGGCATCAGCCTTTCACTCGGGAGAGAATCCAGACCTGCCTTGTTTGTTCCTTCCTGGTTGGTCACAGCCAACAAAGGTACCGACACCTAGAATTCCAAATGTAGACTTCTTCAAAAGAAGTGAAGGTGGTAGGCTGTCCCTGGGGCTGTCCCCTGAGCAGCCTGTGTGACCAGCACTCCAGAGCTACTTTACTGCCTTTGGAGCTCTTGTAGACTCTTTGCAAGAATGGAAACTCCATCACAGGGAGACAGACAGGTTGGAACATGAAGCCCTCCCTGTTACTGACAGCCCTTAAACACCCAGCTGGAGCCTGAGTCTGTTACCCTCACAAGTGGAGTGCTATGTTTCTGTAGAAAGCTTTTCCGAGTCACTTAAATTAAGAGAGTGCAAAACTGGCAGGCCCTGTGTCAGGACAGTGTGTCTGCTTGCATGTGTTCTGGTTCCCCGAGTGGAGAGCCTACTCTCGTGGGCCAGTGCCCTTAGCTCTTCCTAGGCCTGAGGACCCACAGCAAGCCTTCTCTGACCACCAATGCTCAGGGTCTCTGGTAGAGGAAGATAGAGGGAGCTGTTTGTTTTCCTGGGCCTTGGCAGTTCTAGGTCTCTCCATAGTCACAGAACAGAGGCAGCACATCTGTTCTGAGCCAGGCAGCTGGGCTGGCAGACAGTGCCATCATCTGGTCATGATTTGACTCCATCACCCTGCACTGGCTGGTAGACACCTGATGAGACTTTGACCTCAGTCCCTTCTCCTCTGTTCCTGTGGCCACCTGTGGTGCCAGAGGCTCATATGGGAACAAGGGATGAGGGTTATGGCAGTCTAGTGACATGTCTGTAAGGCTGACAGGCGGGGGATATCTGTGAGTGAAGTCAGGGTTCTGAAAGGAAAGCTGGTGGCATCTGCATGATGCCTGGATGCAGGTGTGTGACAGACGAGCAGTGTGGCCTAAGATGGGGCCTTGTGTTGGCACTATGGGCAGCAAAAGGAAGAACTGCTTCTGGTCATGTACACACCTGAGGTTTGCAGTGCTGTGCCCTGCCGGCTGGATGTAACGGCACGCTGTCAGCACTGTGCTTTGTACAGTTCTTATCCCCGGGAGGCTGGTGGGCGTCAGCCACTGGATGCACAGGAGTTGACAGCCCCACCTGGCATTTGGGGGTGACAGCACAGCATGCCCAGAGTTCTAACTGGTTTTTACCCTTGACCCCTTTGGTCTGGAAGCGAGTAATAGACAGCCAGGCAGAGAAGCTGAAAGAACTCGACAAGGAGATCCGTCCCTTCCGGCAGAACTGGGAGGAAGCAGACAGCATGAAGAGCAGTGTGGAGTCCCTGCAGAACCGCGTGACTGAGCTGGAAAGCGTGGACAAGAGTGCTGGACAGGCGGCTCGCAACACAGGTGAGGGCACTGGGAAGGCAGCTGCTCCCACTCGCCCTGGACCACTGCCTAAGGAAGTGGTGTGTTAGGCACAGCACCCGCAGCCTCGCAGCAGCCCCCTGAGGCATGGGTATTGCACACTAAGTCCTCCGGCAGAGACGGGTTTTCACTGAGATGTGTCTCTCCACGTGAGCCCCAGTATGGCGGAGCGCAAAGCCCTCCCTTAGAGAGGCTGGATTATAGGATATCAGGGCCTATTGGTCAGGATGCTGCTGACACTCTGAGGGCCCAGAGACAGGAGCCGGCCAGGCAGGGGAGGTGGGCAGCCTATTGTCCAAGAGTCTCTGACATTGTGAGCAGATGTGTGCCTGTAGTTTTGAGTCTGAATAAGTGCGTGATGATTTACATGGAAGGATTGGGGGTAAGGGTAGATTATTGTGCTACATGGGTTGGATTAAGCAGATGGAGGGCATGTGGTTAGAATAGAATAGGAGACAGCTTAGACTCAGAGCCTAGTGTCCCTGTGGATGCCAGGGCCGTAAGGCAGGGGAGCATGAGCAAGTAGGTAGCCAGGCTCTGACAGCTGTGGCCTGACAGTTGGTACACTGTGGCTACCAGAGGCCCCACACCTGCCTGCCCTCCGCAGTCACAGTGACATCTGAGGGCTGCTGTTCTCGACACTGGTGCATATGTGCTTCTCTGATGTGTGTATGACTTGTTTGCCAAATGTTTTCTTGCCTGTGGCAGGCTTGCTGGAGTCCCAGCTGAGCCGGCATGACCAGATGCTGAGTGTTCATGACATCCGCTTGGCTGACATGGACCTGCGGTTCCAGGTCCTTGAGACCGCCAGCTACAATGGTGTGCTGATCTGGAAGATCCGTGACTACAAGCGCCGGAAGCAGGAGGCCGTCATGGGGAAGACCCTGTCTCTCTACAGCCAGCCTTTCTACACGGGCTATTTTGGCTATAAGATGTGTGCCAGGGTCTACCTGAACGGGGACGGAATGGGAAAAGGGACACACTTGTCGCTGTTTTTTGTCATTATGCGTGGAGAATATGATGCTTTGTTGCCATGGCCATTCAAGCAGAAAGTGACGCTCATGCTGATGGATCAAGGGTCCTCTCGACGTCATCTGGGAGATGCATTCAAGCCTGATCCCAACAGCAGCAGCTTCAAGAAGCCCACTGGAGAGATGAATATCGCTTCTGGCTGCCCAGTCTTTGTTGCCCAAACTGTTCTAGAGAATGGGACGTATATTAAAGATGATACAATTTTTATTAAAGTCATAGTGGATACTTCGGATCTGCCTGACCCCTGACAAGAAACTGGGGAGGTGGATTCAGCAGAAGGTAACTCCTCTGGGGGGTTGAAGCGGTCTGTCTTCACGAAGGTCCTCGCCCTCACAAAGGACCGTGTGGAACAGGGTAAGCAGCCGGAGGAGGAGGAGGAGGATGCGTGGCTAGCAGGGGCCACCCGTGAAAACAGACCCAACGGATTTCCTAATAGACTAGCCACACTCGCTCTGAAGAGCTCTTTATCCTTCAACAAGATAAACATTGCTGTCAGAAGGTTTCATTTCATTTTTAAAGATCTAGTTAATTAAGGTGGAAACATATATGCTAAAAAGAAACATGATTTTTCTTCCTTAACTTGAACACCAAAAAGAAAACACATGTGGAGGTAGCTGGATGTGTCAGCATGTTAATTTAAAAGGTGAACTTATAATAATACAATTCTGATATATTCATCCTAAAATTCAAGAGTGCAATCATGTTTCAAATATAGTATATTGTCTATTTTTAAGGCCTCATCTGGTCTCTGTTTTAATAATTTGTTTGTCAGAAGGCCCTGAGTAGACATAAAGTCTCTAAATTCAGAAGTCATTTTTAATTTAAAGTTCTATAAATAATTGTTACTGCAAACATTTTGTTTTAAAACGTTGATAGACTGATATTTCTTGGAAGAAAATGTGAAATATCAAACACTGGGTATCACTTGTGATAGGAAAGAGGATATTCAAACTGTCGTTATTTCTCGTTAGAAATGTAGCGCTTCGATGCCTGTCGTAGTTAGTGACACTACTTCACAATGACTGTGAGAGGGACAGTGCTCATGGATGCTGTGCATCGTTTCAGACGTAAACTGTTCTCACCCTAAAATAGGGCACTAGTTGAACTTTGGAGTTCTAAACAAAGTCCTGTAGGTTTTTAAAATTCTGCCCCATGTTTAGACAAGCTCTCTCTGTTGCTGACAGCACCAGCCGTGGTCTCCAGTGTCCAGTGTCCGGGGATAGGCAGGTGACCTGTGCTGCAGGAGGCCCCAGCAAGCGTTTCTCATACTGTCTGTCATACTGCTGCATTCAGCTAATGATCTCCGAAAGCAACGTCTGTGCTCAGAGATGGTGGCATACGGTACATGTGCCTTAGATGTGACATGCTGCTTCTTGTCCCTGGGTTTGCGTTCACCGTGATTCTAGAAAGTGATAGTTTAACCAGATCTCTCTCCACCACCAGATCCTTGTCTCTGCCAGGGCCCTCAGACAACTCAGAACCTGCCTGGGGAAGCCAGGCCTCCATTGGCAGCATCCGGAGGCTCTGCTGCTAAATACAGATTCCCACTTAGACCCCCAAGAGCAGCCCAGTCCCACCCCAGGGGAAGGAGGTGTGAGCAGAAGCCACACCCTTCCAGGTCTCCACAAGGACCCTGAAAACCCCTACTCCCCGTAGTGTGAAGGAGAAACCCCCTGTCCTAAGCATTCCCAAGACTGGACCGCTGGTCTGGGAGGCTGGCCAGCAGTGGCCCTGGCCTCCCTGTGGAAGGACGGTCAGTGACACACACACACACACACACACCCCCACCCTGCCCAGCTGGCACTCTGAGCTCACTGTTTACGTCTCTTGATGGTCTAACTGTGACAGAAGCCTGGAGCCCTGCCCCGGTGCCCCTTTTGCTATGCACCACACTTCATGGTGCTCTCACACTGATGGGTGCTACACGCGACGGGTGCTTCTTAGGCAAAACCAATGTGTGCGAACCACATCTGTGCCACTTGCCCAAAAGGCGTGCCCACAATTGGCCAGCTGGGCCCGCGCTTCAGACTGCCTGCCTCTGGGCTCTCCCCATGGTCGCGCGGGGACGGCTGGGTTGGTGCCCGATGGCCCACCTTGTCTCTGGTGCTGCCATCTGTCCTGGGTGTGCCTTTGCCCCAGTGCCTGCTGGAAGTGCCCTCCTCCTGCACACCTGCCCCGTGGTCTCCAGCACTTGCCCTGCCCACCATGGCTGAAACGTTTGGTTCTTACCTGCTGCTCCTTCCTTTCTCCACTCTGCTGGGACTGCTTTGGGGTGAGTCGGTGGGAAGACTGCAGAGCCCACGTCCTTTGAGAGGAGCCCTCTGCTTCCTCCAGGCCTGTCCCCCAGGGTTCTTCCCCAGAGGCCTGGAGCTGGGAGGACCACCTGGCAATCCTTAGTTGACCTCAGCTTTCCCATGGCCAGGTGCCAGCAACAGAGACACCCCTGCAGCACCCCATTTTGAAGAAGTCAGTACAGTGCCAATGGGTAGAGGCCAGCAACGTCATGGGCTGATAAACCTGCCTGTCTTTAGGATTAGAGCCTGGTATGAGGGTGACCCTGAGGCGTCCTCAGGCCTTCCCGCCCTGGGAGTGAGACTTCTATAAGACTCTCCCATGTGATGAGCGCCCTCCTGGCTTCCCCTGGGTGCCTGCAGGATGTGAGTAGCTAACTGTTGTCCCCAGGGATGAGGGTCCAGCATGTCACAGCTTTCTGTTCTGTAGAGTGTCTCTTGCATTTCTTGGTAACAATAGAATAGTGGGCAAGCTCATTCCTTTGTGCCCTGTCTCAATGTGTGAAGGACGTGCCCGGCACGTCTCCTGGGAGGTGTGGAGCTGCCGTGTCCTACCTGGGTGTGCCTCGCTCCGCTCCGTCTCAGCATTCCTCGGTGCCCCTTCGGTGCTCACCACCTGGGCCAGGCTGGGGCTGTGGTCTCAGCACAGGGGAGGCCCTGTTGCCGGTCCTGGCAGCCAGCCCTCACCACCTCACAGGCTGGCCATGCAGTATGTGTATCTGGCTGTGCGAAAGTGTCAATTGCTCATCCTTTAAAGGGTCCATTTGTGTCATGGCCTCCATGAGGAAATTGGACACAACTCCTGCATACCTGAGGCAGTATCCCGTGCCAGCCCAAAACTGCCCCTGGGAAGATGCAAGCCACTAAGTGACAATGTGTCTTGAGGCCTGCCCCATGGTTTTTGTGAGTAGCTGAAAGCCTGTGTCAGTAACAGCCCAGGACAAGACTGGGAGGGAGGGAGGGAGCGCCTTCCACCTTCGTTGGTCAGAGAAAGGAAGGCAGCCCGAAGGGCCCTGGCTGGGCCTGCCTTACTTCTTAGGGACAGACAGACCCAACCGAAGCTGTGTAGCATGCCAGGCTGTGGGTAAGACAGCGGTGGATGAGACTGTGTGTGAGTGTGTGTGAGTGTGTAAGTGAGTGTATGTGTGTGAGTGTGTGAGTGAGTGTGTGAGTGTGAGAGTGAGTATGTGAGTGAGTGAGTGTGTGTGTGTGTGTGTGTGTGTGTGTGTGTGTGTGTGTGATGGGCTCATTGAGGAGAGCAGGGCCCACACCCCAGCCCACCCAGCTACCAGTTTCTCTAGGGCCCATGCTCAGCATTCGGAGAAGCAAAGGGCCGTTGAGAGGTCCTACACCACAGTCCACGCCCATCTCCCCTTCTTGGAGTAGCCTGTGCACAGTGTCCCTAAGCCAGCCCAGCAGTCAGCCAAGGGAGGTGACTGCTTATGGCCACCGCCCTGCCTCTTCTTTCTCTGTCTTCTCCATTTCCTCCCAGGACTGGGACTCCAGGGAGCTGTGATTCACTATGGCTCTGCTCCCTGGGCAGCCTCCAGCAGGGTTTCAGACCTGCCGCCACCAGATTCCCTTTGAATGAGGACCTAGAGTCAGACACAGTCCCTTGCCGGTAGCTAGCCACCTTCCCATGTCTCCTTAGTCTGCCCTAGAGTCCCTCCTGGAGTTGGGACCACATGCCTGCCACCTTGGGCCCGACATTAATGATACCGCTGTAACTGAACAGTATGGTAGCAGTCACCCATGGCAGGCCTGACAACCGATGGACAGCATCCAGCAAAGGGGAGGGTGTCTGGGCATGCCAAGTAATAGGGTCCTGGGCGGGCTACTCCTGCCCCCCAAGAGGAAGCCAGGGGAGTGCCAGTGCCCACAGCGCGGCCCTTGCCTCCTCCTTCCCCCTGCACACTGCCAAGCATTGCGGGGCTGCACTCTGTACTTGGCCAAGATATTTCCCACCTGACAGGCGACAGGGTCGGTCAGCCCCTACCCTGTACGTCCCTCTGCTTGGGACCATCAGTGAATGGAGAGAGCTTGGTGGAGCTGAGGGTACGATTTTTTTCCTTTCCTTTTCTTTTTAAACTTTCAATTCAGCACTTTCCTGACTGGATTGCAGGAGAGCTCGTGTGAGTTCCAGGCATACCATTTTGTGTCTGAGGGTGTGTGACAAATGAGGGTCTGCCCCCAAATCTTCTCAGACTAAGATCATGGTTCTGTCTTCCGTTTGCAAATCCATAGCAGCTCTTCTCCAGGCTAGAATGCGTCCACAGGGTCTGGGTCTGATGAGGCGATACAGTTGGCAAGCGACTCAGCCGTCATTACCCGTCTCACCCCAGCTGGTATTGGTTGCCATGGGCACTGTGGCATCAAGGAGCCAGGTCAGTGTGGACAGTAAGAAGAGGCCAGCAGCCTGTCCCAAAGGCCTGGACATATCCCAGCCTGTCGTCCATTTGGAGGGTTTCCTGGGCACCATTCCTAGGCAGGCGGGCAGTGGCCCACACCAAGGCAGGCGTAGGCTAAGCAGGCCCAAGCAGCCATTTCCCCTGCCACACCATGTGTGGAGTCTTTCTTGTGAGTTCACTGTGGAGAGGAGGTGACAGGTGCAGGCTCACTGTGCCCCTCCCCCCGTAGTCAGCGGCAACTGGCCTACACCGTAGTTAGTCCCCTTAGTCAGTGAGATAACCTTCAAAGGCAACTACATGACCTAATTGGAAAACACAAAAGCCGGCCCTCCTTCCAAGGATTTCCCTCAGAATCTGTAGGCGCTGACTGAGGAAGTGGGGTCAATGTACGCTGTGTGGAGTTGCGTTCTTTTCTCTGATGGCACGCCTCTGGTGTTCAGTTCTATTGCCCAAAAACAAAGACCAAAGAAGGCCAATCTCTGATTTGACTGTATTTTTAATCTGCCTGTTTTGACACTTGCCGTCTGTAGTAACCGCTCGCTGTGAGGCCCCATCTTGACAGTCCAAGTGATTGTGACCAGTGATTAGCATCCTGTGTTCTTCTGCTCTTCTAAGAAACCGAGACAGTGTGAGTTATTGCTCAGCAATAATCCTGTCAGTAGGAGTTAGCAACATGTCTCATTTCTGATAGCATTATGATGTTTCGTATTTTGTTTACTGTATGTTACGTGTAGTTTCATTTGGTATTTATTTGTGTTTTGAGGTCTTGCGATGTTTCTGTTCTGCTGCTAATAATAAAGTTTGTAAGACTGTAGAATGCAAAATTTTGCAATGCTAAAGTGTCTGTTAGAGGAAAATAAAGCTGATTTAAGAGTCCTGCTTTCTTATTGCAGTCTGTCTTTGCTGGGTTTTAGGTTGGGCCTCCTCCAGGTGTTCTCACAAGTGGCTGAATGACATCTGCCTAGGCACACTCTGGCTAGAAGGGACCACCCTTCCTTCCACGCTGCCACCATCCTGAGACACTAGAAGGTTCTGAGCAAGGCCTGCTTGCTCATGCCTGGGCCCATGCTCTTTGTCCTGTGGGAGATTGCTGCCTATAGCCAGTGATCACTCAGCACCAGCTCTGCAGGATGCTGCCACGTAACTAGAACCACAAATGGGAACACTGGAGCCTGGGAAGTCTACAGTGGAATGATTGTAATCGACATACCTCACTTTTAAAACTGCTGGAGAAATCAAAGCCACTTTTACTAGCCTGCTTAAACCCTCCCACAGGGAATTCTCCCATAAGTGCTTCAGGGCCACCTGCAGCAGAGCCCTGCACACACCCCGGTGGCCCACGCCTGAAGATGAGGGGAGATGATACAAACAGGGGAACCTAGGGAATTCCTGGGAGCTGGCAGGCCTTGTGGCCGGAGGGCAAGGATGGCAGGGGCTGACCCCTGGAGTAGGGATGTCTTGAGCAAGCTAATGCTCCCACATCTGTGAAGGTTTCTGTCAGGGCTCATGATAGCATCTGTCCCCGAGTTCCCACATAGGATGAATCCTCTGGTGACTTCAGATATCTGGACCCTACACCTGCAGCCCTACCCCACACACACACTATGTAGGGTCTTTTGTTTGTTTGTCTTTCGAGACAGGGTTTCTCTGTGGCTTCGGAGACTATAGACCAGGCTGGTCTCAGCTCACAGAGATCCGCCTGCCTCTGCCGGCCACCAGCACTGTGGGTGGTCAGATCACAGGACCTGCTCTGTAGCTGCTCCTCAGTGGGATACCACCAACCAAACTGCTCCTAGCCATGCAGCCTTTGTCCCTGCTGGGACCCCGCCCAAGGGGAACAAAGGGTGTCCAGGGTGTCTAACCTGGAGTGGCCCCCAGCTGTGGCTTCCCCTGACCCAGAGACCTGTGGCCTTCCAGTCTCAAAGCAAAGGGGCAGAAGGCGACAGCTGGCCTTGTGTGGGGGAAGAAAGGACAAAGGCTGCTGGCTCCTTATCCTGAGAGAGGCCAGTGACTTAATGGCGCTCTCCGAACAGGACTCTTGGAGCCGCCGTCTGCCTACCCATTGATTACCCACTACCCACCGCGTGCTGGCTGTCCCAAACCCAACAGGAAGGGGAAACTGGCTTCCAAGTCTTAAGTTGAAGAATGAGCCAGAGGCTTAGAGGGTCGGCAGCTCCCAGCATTTGAACCTCAAGAGTAACTAGCCCCAACCCATCCAATTCCCGTGCTCCGCCTCCCCAAAGCTGCGTCAAGCCCCAGCAACAACGTCCCTGCCCCCCTCTGGCTCTTTGTCCACATCCTAGCCTCCCATACCCCTGCCTCAGTGCCTCAATAGGCACTCAATTTCTTTTTTTTTTTCTTTTTTTTTCTTTTTTTGGTTTTTCGAGACAGGGTTTCTCTGTGGCTTTGGAGGCTGTCCTGGAACTCACTTGGTAGTCCAGGCTGGCCTCGAACTCACAGAGATCCGCCTGCCTCTGCCTCCCGAGTGCTGGGATTAAAGGCGTGCGCCACCAACGCCCGGCTGGCGCTCAATTTCTACAGACACCCTTGTCCATCTGTCCCTTGCTTACCCCTCAGTGCAGCACCAGCAACGCTGTCACTCAAGGTTCCCACAGCCCTGGGGTAGGTAGGCCGGGAGCTACAATGGCCATGCACGAAACCAACCAGATGCAGCATCCATTGAAGAGCTGCAATGAACCAGTGGGAAGCCTCGTGGTGGACGTTGTCAGCGACCCAGTGAGAGAGATGACTTCCGGGCATGTGTAGGTTGACTGTGCACAGCTAATCTGATACAGGATGTCAGTCGGGCCGAAAGAGCAACTGCCAAGCCCCTGGCTCTGCGCTTCCCTGGAGCAGCCATGCTGTGAGCGCTCCAAGTTACTCTTTAGGGCTCTGAGTCTCTCCCACTTCCTGTGAAGGTCCTGGCCAACTCACAAGTGTGTGTCTACACGTGCCTGACGGCCAGGGGTTGTGTTTGCAATCTAGGGATTTCTGTGGGCGCACAGCATGCTGCTCCCAGCCACGCCCGCCCTGGCTGCAGCTGTGACCCACCCTTCCCGTTGCTGTGTTTAGTGCTGCCTCTTACCGGAAGCCTCTTGGCCCGGGCACCTCCACCTCCCTTCCCAAGTGTGTCCCATGGGTCAAACTGGTGCAGGGTGAGAGCCAGAGCCCAGGCTGTCACAGCGCTTCCTCCCCAGTGAGAAACAGAACAACAGGCAACAAGAATGTGATGCCCAAGCACTTCCTTTGTGCATGGCCTCGCAGGGGGCTGCGGTGACGTGTTGTTTATGATCTAACAAAGCTTGCCTGGAGATCAGGATGCAAAGCTAGCCACAGCCACAGAGGCCAGGCAGTGGTGGCACACACCTTCAATCCCAGCAGCCACGCTAGTTAGTCATAGAAGCTGGGCAGTGGCGGTGTCCGCTTCTAATCCCAGCACTGGAGAGGTATGTAAGACAGGAGCTCAGGGTCTCCCTGGGGCATTCAGTCTCTGCAGTCCCGAGCACAGGATCGCCCCAGCCTGAGCTAGTGGCTGGCTGTTTTGTTTATCTGATCTTCAGCTTGAACCCCAATACCTGTCTCTGGGTTTTTATTATTTGTGCTACAGGAGGCCAAGCGCAAGCCCCTCTCAATAGTTACCCTGCTAAGCCAGCCAAGAGTGCTGATGCCCCCTTTGAAGGCAACTTTACCAAATAACAGAGCTGGGTCCCTGGCCGGTTTGGGCCTAACCTGGGTGTGAAAACGAGTGCCCCCTAGTGGATGAAGCAGAAGTGGAGGGTGAGGCCGGAGCTCGCAGATGAGGGGATGAGTCCCCCGCTCTGTCCACCACCACCCTCCTCCAATCTGCCTCCCGTCACCCGCACATCCATCCACCATTCACAGGCGTGCCTTCGCCCCGGCGTCCGTCCATCCATTATCACCACCCAAAGTGGTTCCTCCAACACCCCTGCTGTGGCAAAACACCCAACAAAGGGCAACCTCAGGAAAGAAACGGGTATCTGGGCCCACGGAGGGCACGGCTGGACAGACTTGGTGGCATGCGGCAGCTGGCCGTGCTGGCCGTGCTGGCCGTGCTGCGGTGTGCTTCAGGAAGCAGACATGAGCTCGGCCTCTCAGCCTGGTCCCGCCTCTGTTTAGTCTGAAACCCCCTCCCCTGCCCATATCTGACGCAGGTCTTGCGGGCTTCAACTCTGGATACCTTCCCAGACACACCCAGAGGCGTTTCCATGGAGATGAGTTAGGCTGACAAGGAAGGTCAACCGGCACACCCTGTCCCCTCGCATTCCCTCCCTGACACTTGCTGCACTCATCCGTTTTGCTCCACGGGGACCAGTGACTGGGCAGGGCTGGATCGCAGGGGGCAGCTCCCAAGTTACATGAGTGCCTCTGGCCCGGGAGAAACTTCCCAGCAGCCTGCTGTTGCCCCGTCGCCCGTTCTCCGTCCTCCTGTCAGTGTCCCTGTCAGTGTCCCCGAAGGTGGACACTACCCGGTCCACACCTCTCCCTCCGTTACCTCAAGCAGCCTTCTTCCGTCAGGCTGTGCCCACCAACGTCTTCACCCTCAGCAACAGCCACCTCTCTGTCGTCTGTGAGCCAGCTGCCCCCCACCGCACACCCTCCACAGCCCAGTCTCCTACCCGCCGTCCCCACACAACCTAGTCATGTCCCTCTGCTCGCCACACGGCCACCACCCACCCGCTACTCAGCCACCCCTGCCATCCACCTGGCCACTCTCCAGTCACGACTGTCACCCGTTGCTCCCAGGTGTTTAATGCCCAGCACCGGGAGCCGCTGTCCACCCTGAACTCACATAAGAGCCCTCACACCCCACCACCGTTTGGTGACTGACTGTCCTTTTATTTTTTTTCTTTCCCCCGTGGATCATTCCCCGTCCATGGTCCACATGAGCATCTTCTGCCCACTCGTCATCATGGTCCGTCCCTCAGGCACATCCCACCCTGCCCTGCCGGCCTGTTCTGCAGAACCACCACACACCCGCGCTCTGACCCGCTTCCCCCAGTCTCCATCCAGCACACCCCTGCAGACCGTGTATCAGGGGTTCGGGCCTGGAGAAGACGGGCAGACACCGCGGACGCCACGGTTGTTGGCCACCTCCGGGCCAGGTCACCATGTCACGGGGAGAGTCAGGTCAACACCCTCTTACCGGGCTCCCAGGGCCTCGGGTCCCAAAGGGCGGACGCTAAGGTCGCTGAGAAGATTCCTCCAAGGGGCCTCGGGACACAGCTGGGCGGGGCCGGAGGTAAATGTGTAACGTCTGGGCGCCCCCTGCCCCTCCGCCCCGCCCGGTCACCCAGGGCGGCGGAGCAAAGTCCGCCATCTGCGACGGGAGAGCCTCGGCGGCGGCGGCGGCGGGATGTGCGCTCCGGGCCGGGTCCTGCTGTGGCTGCAGCTCTGCGGTAGGCGGGGGTCTGCGGCCCGAGGCTGCTCGCCCAGGCCCGAGGGTCGCGATCTCAGGAGACGGTGGGGGAGGGAGGTGGCGTCCGCAGCCTGCCTGCCTCGACGTCCCCGTCCTGTGGCGTGGGCTGCTGAGCCCCTCGATGCCCAGGAGGAACCGCACGGTCCCTGCGGAGCTTCTCTGTGCGCTTGGGAGGGGGCCGCCGGCTCCTGGCTCCGGGAAGCCTCTCTGCGCCCGGGGCGCTCCCTGTAGACCCCGGGAAGTCGCACGGGAGAACAGGGCGACGTCCCGAGAGGGGGCACGCTTGCGCGGGCTCTGCAGATCGGCTAGGAGTGCACTGGAGATCGCCGCGCAGGGCTTCTCCTGGGCCTGGCCTGCGCTGAGAGACCAGCGCCCGGGCCAGGGCCATCTCGGGGACCGGATCTGCACCAGGGCGCTTCCCCGAGGGAGACAGACAGACACACAGCCTTCCTTTCTCTAGCCCTGACTCGGGCCGCCTACAAACTTTGGGTCCCCGACACCTACTTCGATACGGCCTCCAACTGGATCCAGAACCGGACCCCGTGCGCGGGCGATGCGGTCCAGTTCCCGGCGGACAAGGTGCCTTGGCGGGGGCGGGGGGCACTGGGTGGGGGACCTGCCAGCCCCGCAGCTGACGCCTCCTCTTGCTGCAGATGGTGTCGGTCCTGGTGCGAGACAGTTACGCCATCTCGGACATGGTAAGGCTCGGGGCTGTGGCCACAGGGTCGCCGAATGCCCCTTCCCAGGCCTCTGTGCGTCGTCGCCACGGGAGCCGCTGGGTCAGAGAGCACATGGGGTCTCTCCCCTCCCCCAGTCTGCTGTGTAAGGAGGGCTCTGGGAAGCCGCCTGCCCTTCCCTGTCCTGGAGGCCACGCTAGCAACCTGCAAAACGCAGAGACCCAGACAGCAGGGAGGGCCAGAAGCAAAAGGCTTAGTCCGCACATGCTAAGGCTTCAGTGCGCCAGGGGCTGATGGCCTTGGCGATTCGAAATCAATCCCCGTGGTTGGAGCTAAGACTAAGTGAGGGTTTTGTTTCTGTTCCCTTGGTGGTGGTGATGGTGGTGGTGTGTTTTTGGTGTTTTTTTTTTTAAGTTTCCCCCCCTTGTGTGTGGGTGTTCTGTCTGCATAATGTCTGTGTACAACATGTGTGCAGTGAGTGCACAGGCCAGAAGAGGGCGGGATTCACGTGAAGCTTGAGTTAACAGATGTTTGTGAACCACCATGTGGGTGCTGGGATTCAAACCCCAGTCCTCGGTAGGAACGGTCAATGTTCTTAACCGCTGAGCCGTCAACAACACCAAACCAAAAGGGCAGTATTTCATGGCAATTCAAATGGAAAATCTCAATCTCAGTGCCCATGTTTTGCTTGTTTGTTTGGGTTTTGTTTTTGTTATGTTTTTTATTTTTAGTTGTTCAAGACAGGGTTTCTCTGTGTAGCCCTGGTTGTCCTGGAATTTGTTTTGTAGACCAGGCTGGCATCAAACTCAGCAGTTCACCTGTTTCCAAGCACTGGCCAGCAAGAAATAATGTTTTCCTTGAATCAGGGTCTCAAGTAACCCAAGCTGGCCTTGAATTCTATGTTGATGAGACTGACTTGGGGCTCCTGATCTTCCCGTCTCCCCTCCAAGAGGCTGGGATTACAGCTCTGAGTGCCAGCCAAGGCTCAGTGTCCAAGTTTAACCGCGCCCATCCTTCGCTGAGTGTGCACTTGGGGCTCACGGGTGTGGCAGGCCCAGAGGACCGTCCCTGTCTGGGCTGTGGCAAGGTTGCCCCGACCTCTCTGGCCTCAGGGACAGTGGACAGTGGACGCCTCCCAGGCACTACCTTTCTTCCTCCTCCTCAGCATCCTGGGGGACCCAGGGTGTGAATTGCCTAAGGAAGTCTATTGACGGACAAGGGCTTGGGTCACTTTGAGGAGGCAGAATGTCACCCCTGTTTTCTGGAGCCCCCTACAGCTCCCAGTTATACCCTGTACCCTCATCTTGGACCTCACCAAACCCTCATGCATTCTTCCCTGGGATTTTCTCTCTCCTCCTACCCACTTCCATCTCTGTCTCCGTCTTTGTTGCTGGGGAAATGCCCAGCTCTCCTGCTTTACGGCTCAGCACAGGGTCCTCTGTGTGGCTCTGGTTGTTGCAGAGAACTGGTGTGTGCGTCCAACAGAGCACTAGCCAGTGCACGGGCTGCGACTCCCCATGTTTGTTTCATTCCTCTCAAAGAGTTTAAGATGCTCTCAAGCGCTGGCACAATCGTTTAAGCCCAGCACTCGGGAGGCAGAGGCAGGCAGATCTCTGTGAGTTCGAGGCCAGCCTGGTCTACAAAGCGAGTTTCAGGACAACCAGAGCCACATGGAGAAACCCTGCCTCAAAAAGCAAAACTAAACAAACAAAAAAATTATATTCTAGAATTGTTGGTTCTTCTCATATGGAAAATGGCAGCCATACCTCCTGTTTACAGCCCTGCGTATCCCTTTTCCTTCCTTATTCGCCATGCTCTCAATACTCCTACGGAATTAGGAGCCCTTGTCACGTTGTTAATGACAAAGCACTTTACATTTCTCTACTGGGCGCCGTGCCGGCTCTCCGTTAGGAGAACATTACGCTTTAGAATACTGTAAAAGTTCTATTGCTAAAGCTGGCAGCCTCTTCAACAACTGGGTAGGTTGTGGAGCTTTTCGGTGTCATTTTCTAATGGGTTGAGATGCAAGTTCCACCTTTCCGTTCTTCAAAAAAAGACTAACAAGCTCCTGGCAACACGTGCGTGCAGCACCAGTAGCGGCCAGAAGAGGGCGCCAGGTAACTGCCGGTTGTGGGCCGCCATGTGGGCCTGGAAACTGAGCCTGCCGCTTGTCGGTGTCCTTAACCACCGAGCCATCTCTCGAGCCCACCATTGTCTGTTTATACCCCGTGTGATCTGTTCTTCCTTGTTTTGATGCTAGAATATTCTGCGTTTGAGTTGAAACATACTGTACGTGTGTGCATGTGCATTGGATTCTGCCTGCTGGCATGTGAGCAGAAGTTCCCCGACTTCGGGTCTTGACGCTCCCCGCGTCATTTCATGGTTCTGCCTCCGCCTCCCCGAGCCCTCGTATATGAGTTTGGTTCTTAGTCATCCACCATTCTCCTGGATTTGGCCTGCCGCTGAGCGCCCTCAGCGGGATCAGTCCTGATGCTTCCCCTTCTCACTGGGCTGGCTTTCCACGCTCTCTTCACGCTTTCCCTTCGGTTCTCTTCATTTTCTGTGATGCTAGGGACAGGGCCCTGGCTTCACAATGAGCGGTGCCCCGGCCCCTTTAAGAAAACGCATTCCTTCCCCACGAGTGTACGCTCCTGCTACCACACTTACAGCTCGTCTGTCCCCAGACGTGGGTGGGCTCCTTTGCATTCAGTGAGCAGCTGGCCTGTGCCTGCTTCTCCCTCTCTGCTGTGGGCTTCTGGGCAGTCTGGAGCTCTGAGAAGGCTTCCAGTGGGGCCAGGAGCCTGGGCCGTGGGTGCTGCCTGATAACCTGTGAGGAGCGGCTCGCCCTGTCCCCTCAAACCCTGGGAGAAGGATGGAGGGCTGAGGGTCCTGGGGCTCGGGGGACGGGGAGATGGTATGTTCCCTTCCCCACAGCGTATTCCTAGCATAGAACGGGATCTGAGTGGTGAGGGGCTCCCAGGGGCGAATAAACATTTTGAAGTTTGGCTTCCAGGACCTTTCTCCAGAGTGCTGGGTGCTGGCAAATGTCACCTCCTGCCCCCTGGGTTCCAGGGTCTCAGCTGTGCCCAGCCCTCTTAGCATCAGACTCTGCCACCTATGTGACCCTCGGCACCAGCCCAGAGTTGGGGTCCTTCAGACGGGGCACATGCTGTGTCTGGTGCACAACACCCGTCCCTTTTCTCCCTGGTGACACCCAGCTCTCCCTGTTAGCCTCAGCCAAGTTAAGGTTCGGGGCCCTGACTCCTTCCCCTGGATCCCCGCCAACGTCGCAGCTTGGGTTCTCCTGGTGGCCGGGAGGGGTTAGTTGGGCGCAGTGGGTGCCTGGGCCATGCGCCACCTCAGCCCGCGCCTTCCCGCAGCTCCTGCCGCTGGACGGGGAGCTCGTCCTGGCCTCGGGAGCCTCATTCAGCGCCGCAGGAGTCGGCTCGGACCCGGCTTGTAACTCGGGTGAGAAAGGAGGAGGGGGCGTGGCTCGGGAGCGGAGCTCGGGGCGTGGCTAGCGTGGGCGTGCCTTCTGGAGGGCGGGGCTCAGTGCGCGGCGTGGGTTGGTGCGTGTCGTCTCCGTAGGCGCCCCGTTGCTCTTCCGAAATCCCGACCGCTTCTCCTGGCTTGACCCACACCTGTGGAGCTCCGCGGCCCAGGAGAGCGGCTTCTTCTCCGTGGACGCCGAGCGCGTGCCATGCAGCTACGACGACGTCCTCTTCCCGCGCGACGCGTCTTTCCGCGTGGCGCTCGGCCCGGACCCCAACCCGGTGCTCGTCCGCAGCGTCTCGGCCGTGGGCCAGGTGAGCGGGCGCGGGAGGGCTCGGGGCCATGCCCTGTGCGCGTCCCCGTGGCCCCCGCGCACTCAGACTCTCTCCTCGCCTGCCTGCCGGTCGGTGACGCCGCCACCCGCAGACGTTCACGCGCGACGAGGACCTGACCGCCTTCCTGGCGTCCCGCGAGGGCCGCCTGCGCTTCCACGGGCCGGGCGCGCTGCGAGTGGGCGCCCAGGCTTGCACCGACGCGTCGGGCTGCGTCTGCGGCTACCCCGAGGTGAGCGAGCCTGGGCGGGGCACAGCCGCGGTGGGGCGCGCGGCTGCCGCTGCGCTTTCCTGCCCTCACCCCCCCCCCCCCCGCCTCCACCCAGACACTGCCGTGGATCTGCGCATCTCTGCTGCAGCCCCTGGGCGGCCGCTGTCCCCAGGCCACCTGCCGCGACCCCTTACTGCCGCAAGGACACTGCTGCGGCCTCTGCGGTGAGCGCCCCGGCCGCCCTCTAACGCGCTCCCCGCGGGCTCCCCTCTCCTGCTGGGGTCCTCGACGTTCGTCTGTCTGCCCTCTCCTCGCAGGAGCCATCGTGTCGTTGGCCCACGACCCCACATTTAACCTGGAGCGGTACCGAGCGCGGCTGCTGGACCTCTTTCTGAAGCAGGTAACGAGGCCCCACGGAGGCCCCCCCGGCTCTCCCGCCCCCGCCCCCAGCCCGAAGGCAGACCCCGAATCAACCCTCTCCCCCACCCCCAGCCCCAATACCAGGGGCTGCAGGTGGCTGTGTCCAAGGTGCTGCGCGACGCCCGCACCGAGATCCAGGTGGTGCTGGTGGAGACCCGGCCCGAGGCAGGCGCAGCGGGACGACTGGGCCACGCGCTCCTGCAGGACGCGGTGGCACAAGGTACCCTCGATCCTTCCCGCCCCTCCGCCTCCGCCGCCCGGGCTGCCCCGGAGCCGCCGCTGACACCCCCCCGTTGCAGGCGACGCGCTCGGCATCCTGTCCGCCACCCTGCGGCACTCGGGCGGGCCGGCGCATGGAGGCTCCGCGCTGGATCGGGAAGGGTCCGGCGCCTGGATGGCGGGCGGTGTGGCCGTCCTGGTGCTGCTGGCACTGCTGGGGACCATGCTGCTGCTGCTGCACCGCAGCGGGAGGCTCAGGTACGCCGCCCCTCCCGAGGGCGGGCTCCCTAAGGCTGGCGGGGCTGTCCCCGGGGTTCACCTGCGCCCGCCCGCATCCCGCAGGTGGAGAAGGCGTGATGAGGCTGAGCCCGCCGCATCTGCTGGGCTGCCGCTGGGTTTCCGCAACCCGCTTTTCGACGTGATGGTCTTCAAGCAGCAGGTGAGATAGCGGGAGGAGCTTTGGGAGCCTGCCCAGGGGCTGGTACCTGGCACCCTGAAACCCCTGACCCTGTAACCCGCAGCCGCAGCCCTCGGTGGAGCAGCTGGGCTCTGCCCAGAAGGCGGACACTGACACCAGCTTCAGCTACTTCGTTAACCCACTCTTTGCGGGGGAGGCAGAGGCAGAGGCCTGACCGTCCCCTGGGAGAGTGAGTACCGGGCCTCCAACCTGCAGACTGTTCACCCCCTCTGAGACCACGACTTCTCTCCGGACAGCAAGGACAGGCCTACCTCGTCCAATAAAGGTTGTTTGTTTTTCTAACCTGCTAGCACGGGTGGTCACACTTCCGACCTCAGACCCTCAAGTGCTCTCACCAGCAAAGTCATGGCGTTTCCTTTGGAGGTGGCCTTAAGCTTCCGGGGCTCAAGTGTCTCTCAGACTTAGCCTCCAGGGTTAGCTGGGCTTTAGGTGTGGCCCCTGAGCCCAGCAGCTTCAATTAATGGCCATTGGTGCTGGGACGGAGCTGTGGGTCTGGCCAGGTTTGGTCTCTTGTCAGAGGGAAGCAATTGGTGACCTTTAAATCAGCTCGCCGCCAGGTTCCGGGTCACGGTGGCATCAGTACCCGTCCTGATTTGTCTGTCGGGTTCTGGGCGTTTGTAGTCACACAGTGTGCAGGAAGCTTGTCCATCGCTTGACTGTGGGTTGCCCACTGTCGCTTACAGAGTGGTAGGAAAGAGCAGTTCCAGTGCTAGGCATGGTGGAGCACTAACACTGGAGGCAGGAGGATAGAGGGTTCGAGGACAGCCTGGGCAAAACTGCAAACCTCTGTCTCAGTAAACAGAGGAAACAGGCAAAGAGATGGGGTGGAGGGGCTGCGGAGAGGGCTCAGTGGGCTAAACATCTGCCTTGCAAGTGGGGAACTGAGGCCGATCCCCAGGACGTCTGACTTCCTTGAACAAGAACACATATGTGAAAGCAGGGAAAGCACTCAACACTAAGAATCAGTCTTTAGGCCGGGCGCTGGTGGCGCAGCCTTTGATCCCAGCCCTTGGGAGGCAGAGGCAGGCGGATCTCCATGAGTTCAAGGCCAGCCTGGTCTACAGAGTGAGTTCCAGGTCAGCTAGGGTTTATATAGAAAGACCCTGTCTCAAAACACAAAACAAAGAATCCAGTTTCATCAAATTTGGCTTGATTATGTAAATGGAGCAAAACCACACCTGCACACACGCGCGCACACGCGCACACACACACGCACACACGTTCGAGTTCTACCCTGGAGGTAGTGGGAGGCAAATCTCCCCAGCTCTTGGGACACTGGGGAAGCAGGATTTAGGGAACATTATTTTACCCACTCACTGAAGCAAAGACCCCATGAACAGGATTTGTGTGTTGTTTCTATTTATTATTATTACTTTGTTTTTGCTCTTGTTTTTCGAGACAGGGTTTCTCTGCGGCTTTGGAGGCTGTCCTGGAACTAGCTCTTGTAGACCAGGCTGGTCTTGAATTCACAGAGATCTGCCTGCCTCTGCCTCCCGAGTGCTGGGATTAAAGGTGTGCAACACCACCACCTGGCTAACATCCAAATAAAAATCTCAACATCACAACAGTGTTTTATACAAAGAGAACAAAGGTTTCGTCGATGTTTTGTCTAGGTTCAGGTAGTTACTACCTGTGGGGTTGAGCTTCCTCAGCTGTGTGGATCCAGCAGCTCTGAACTCTGAATTTCACATGCACACGTGGAAGCCACAGGTGGACCTTGGGTTCCTCTCCAATTTTTTTTGAGACAGGGTCTCTCACTGAATCTACAGCTACACCAGCTTCCCAGCTTTGCCTCCCCAGTGCTGGGCATGCATTACCACCTCTGTGGCTTTTTTTAAATAAAGATTTTGTTTTTATTGTGTGTGTGTGTGTGTGTGTTTGGGTGACCATGGAAGTCAGAGGATGTAGGTTGCATTCCTTGGGACTGGGTTCTAGGCGGTTGGGAGCAACCATGTGGGTCCTGGGAACCAAACACAGGTCCTCTGCAAGAACAAGTGTTCTGCCTGCTGAGCCGGCTCTTGCTGCCTCTCTGCTCTGTAGCCTCTGATGTGGGTTCTCAGGAGAAGACCAACCTCAGGTCTGTCCCGCTTCAGTGACAAACCCAGTCAGAGTTCTGAATTGTGTTGTTTAGAGATTCAGCCCTGGCTGGCCTCGAACTTGCTATATAGAGGAGGCTAACCTCAAACACAGGGCTCATCCTGCCTCTGCCTCTCATGGAATTATAGGTGTGTCCTACCATGTCTAGCCTGACGTATTTATTTTAGTTTAATGATTTTTTTCTTAACCAAATGATTTATTTTTTAGTTTATGTGGATGTGTGAATGCTTGCACGGCTATGCGTGCTATATGAGCAGCGTGTGTGTGTGCTGGCGCCTGTGGCGGCCAGGAGGGGGCGTCTGAGCTTCTAGAGTTACAGTACATCCGGCATGGGGCTTGGGAACTGAACTCCCTTCCTCTGCAAGATCAGCAAGTGTTCTTGACCCTAAGCCATTGCTCCAACTCCTACTTCATTCACCTTGAAAGTTATCAGAAATCTGACTACTATTGTGAAGGTTCCAGAGCCTGATAGAACAGCCACGGTTAGAACTTTTGAATTCAGTCACTGATAAGGGAATTTTTAATGAGTGGGCCCAAGGTGTCACATGAGGACAGTTTTCATCAGTAACATCTATGTGACTTAAAGACCTCTTGATGTTGGGGCTGGGGACTTAGCTCAGTGATAGAGCGTTTGGAAAGCAAGGGCAAGGCCCTGGGTTCGGCCCTCGGCTCTGGAAAGAAAAAAAAAAGACCTCTTGAAGTCTTGGTGGCATTTCCAGTGTGATCCAACAGCCCACATCCGCCAGCGGCCAGCCGCTGCAGACGGACAAAACATAAGGTGGGATGTCTCCTAGGTCCAAATGTAAAATCAGAGTCTAAAAGACTTCATTACGGAGACCCTCTGAAAATGACCTGAACTCGGATCTCACAGGCCTGTTCAAAAGCTTTAGGCAAAGGGAAGGCTTTAAAAGCCGCGTTTAAAAATAAAGCTGGGGACTGGAGAGATGGCTTAGCTCAGCAGTGAAGTCCTCACTGACTGCTCTTCCAGAGCACCTGGGTTCAATTCCCAGCCCCCACATGGCTGCTCACAAGCGTCTGTAACTCAGTTCTAGGGGACTGGACACCCTCACAGACAGGCATGCAGACAAAGCACCAATGCACATAAAATAAGTAAATTAAAAAACTAAAGCTGGAAGGTGCTTCACGAAGATGGGACCGGTCTGGAGTTGAAGTTTTCAGGGGACAAATGTCCTAGTGGGTCGTGGCAGCCTTCGTAGGAGGCTGTGCTCTGAAGTCCCACGATGTTCTTAGCAGGTGCACTGCACACGCACGAGCCCTCCCCCTTCCTAACTCGTATTCTTACTCATTTTTATTGTGGTTCTGGCTCCCAAGCATCTTGCCTTTTACAACTGTTATATGGCCATCGCTGTAAGGCAAATGCCACCCTTCACCAATTGCAGCTCTGAAGTAGACACTTGTGGAATATTATTTTAACTAGGCAAAGATGTGTTACCTTTGTTTATGCTACAGAATATTTAACTGTGTAAAGGTGTGCTACCTTTGTTTATGCTGCATCTGCGTAACTATGTACAGATGTGTTGCATCTATGTCACCTGCCTGCCTGGGGCACCTGAGTCTTCTAATAAAGAGCTGGTACACGCCCGGGGCCCCAGCTGCTCGGGAGGCTGAGTCAGGAGGATCGCTTGAGTCTAGGTGTTCTGGGCTGTCTGAGCCGGTCGGGTGTCCACACTAAGTTCAGCTTCAGCATGGTGACCTCCTGGGAATGGGGGACCACCAGGTTGCTTAAGGAGGAGTGAACCGGCCCAGGTCGAAAATGGAGTGGGTCAAAACTGAAGAAGAAAGAGACCTGGGCGTCACCGGTAAGCCAAGACCATGTGGAGACACGGGTTAGTAGAAACAGGTTAATAATTAGAGGGACTCAGCCAATAAGAAGCCTGAGCCACCGGCTAAACAGTTCATAATCACTACAAACTTCTGTGTGTTTACTTGGGACTAAATGGCTGTGGGACCAGGTGGGACAGAAACCTCTGACCCCAGCTAGGCAGGAAAAGGATAGGTGGAGCTGGTACAGAAAAAGAGAAGAAGAGAATGAGGAGACAGAGGAATATACACACCGGGGGCCGGAATTCAGGCAGCTGCCAGCCATAGAGACAGCCGGAAAGTAAGATACGCAGAAAGACAGCCGGAAAGTAAGATACGCAGAAAGCAGCACTTGGGAGGCAGAGGCAGGCGGATCTCTGTGAGTTGGAGGCCAGCCTGGTTTACAGAGTGAGTTCCAGGACAGCCTCCAAAGCCACAGAGAAACCCTGTCTCGAAAAACCAAAAAAAAAAAAAAAAAAAAAAAGGAGAAAGACAGCCGGAAAGTAAGATATGCAGAAATAAGAGTAAAAGGCCTGAGGCAAAATGTAGATAAAGAGAAACAGATTAAGAGATAAGATAAGGCTGAGAATTTTGTTTTGGGGGGGGGGCGTTTTCAAGACAGGGTTTCTCCGTGGCTTTGGAGGCTGTCCTGGAACTAGCTCTTGTAGACCAGGCTGGTCTCGAACTCACAGAGATTCACTTGCCTCTGCTTCCCAAGTGCTGGGATTAAAGGCGTGTACCACCATCACCTGGCGTGGGCTGAGTATTTATAACTGATATTAAGTCTCTGCGTCATGATTTGGGAGCTAGTTGGTGGCCTAAAAAAATCCTGGTACAGACACTGGTGAGTCAGTGCTGGAGTGGTTGTAGACCAGCCACCAGGCAGGCCGTAGCATGTGCAAGCACAACATTATACAGATGGGCAGGCCATAGCATGTGCGAACATACAACGTTGCACAGATGGGGAGACCATAGCATGCTCGAGCACACAGCATTTTTAGGCCCAGCATCAGGGCACTTATCCTGCATTTGAGGAGTAATATACTCCATTGTATACCAAGCCGTAGATCCTGGAGAACGACTTGGCGGTGGCTGGGACCATCAGGCACTGTGGGGCCCCTTCTGAGTGAGACCCCTGTCCCAAGATGGACAGGGTGAGAACCCCCCAGTTAGCTCCCACCTCCACGGGGAGTAGGGAGAGCAGGTGCTCAGGTTCTGAGGGAACTTTTCCACCCCAAGAAACAGGGTGGAAGCAACCATTCCTAAGCCAAGAGACGGTGCAAACCAAGGAACGGACACTTCTAGGGGAGGGCGCATGCCCCCACACCTGGGCCAGGTTCCCCGGAAGGTCATGCCTGGGCTCC